CAAGCCATAGATACACAGCTTGGGAGAGGCACAGGACCTCCCTGCTCCACTCTCCTTTGCTATCTGAGGCAGAGATCTGGGAGGACTGTCCCATCCCTAGCCCACCTCCTAAGGACCAGAGCCCATTGTGCAATCATCCATTACTTTCTGAGTCCAGAGCGTGTTGTCAGGGGGTCTCTCTGGACCCCCACCAGTTCTTTCAGGGTCTAATGGCCTCCGTGGGGTGTCCTCAATTCTGCTCACAGTATGAGGGAACTCCCCTGGGACAAGTATGCCAAATTCCCTCAAGCACTTGTTCTGAGAGGCCAGCGGGTCCAGACCACTGACTCAATGGCAGGGGTCCTGGGTTGGTTCCGACCACCTGCGAGTCGTTCTGCTCAGCAGCAGTGATAGGGCCTCTCATCAAAAAGGTGCTGGTAGTGGCAATGCTGGGGGGAGTCCATCTTACCTCACTCCCCCGCAGCAGCCGCGTGCTCCCACCAGTACAGTGTCCTCCTGTAGCATGGGACCATAGCAACTTCCATAGTGCCACGGGGGTGGGGGTCTCCTGTTTTTCCCTCCTCCTCCCTCATAGGGCCTGACTTGTTGAGGAGCAGAGAGACGGGTACGCGGTAGCCCTCTCCCCAAGCTTTCTTTTACAGCAGGACCACTGTGTGCCCCAAGGCTGCTGGGCTCCTGCTTTCACACCCGGGCTCAGACCCACAGTCACTTGAGCTCCTGCCTTTGCAGCTGAGTCAGGTGACCCACCACCCCGCCTAGAGGGAATGGGTCCCAACCTGAGAGTGAGCCAGTCAAACCCCTTTGTTTCTTCCCAAAAGCTTTGGTCTGGGGACAAGTGGTATCTTTTCCATGTTGGGCAGTGGAGAGAAGAAGCCAGCGAGGAAGAGCAAACATGGTGGGTAACACACTGTGAGGCACAGGGCAGATATAATGGGGAAAACTACAGGCAGGGACTAAGGCAGATTTCACAGGGCCCTGCTGTTCTAGGACAAGTCCCGTGGACCAGCATGGCTGCACAGACACGTGGTGGGTGTCAGGAACACATGAAAGATGCGCATCCTAGCTGTCCACACCTGCGAGCCCTTTAGCTATTTGAAAAGGAGTTCAGAGGGTTCAGGCAGCACCTGGCTGGCCACGTCATAGAAGGAGAGTTTCGATGGGGGGCGGGGATGTGCAGGGGACGGGAGGGACATTGGAGTTTGGACTCAGATCACCTGGTTCCCAGACTCTGCAGGGGTGGGGCGGTGAGGCCCATGAGATCATTCCATGGACAAAGGTTGTCTCTCCTTGGTGAAGTAAGACATGGCTCCACATGAGTCCTTGTGCATGGTGACATCAAGGGTGTCTTTTGCAAAGGGACAGTGGGGACCTGGACACAGGTCCTATGGAGTTGTGAGGGTTAAAGAAGAACTCACACATGAAGCGCCTATCAGGGTGCCTGACAGGGTAAGCATGTGTGGAATCACAGCTTGTCACAGGCGAGGGGCACTCGGAGCCCTGTGCCCACCCATGAGCATGCAGCCCAGACCTCAGCTTCCTGAGGGACCCGATGCCCTGATGGGAAGGGGCTTCATTTGTCCCCCAGTTCCCAAAACTGTCCCAGGATCTCTGTGGTTGGGGAACCCCCGAGAGCCAGCCCCAGCACTAGTGGCAGAACCAAACTGAGATGAAAGCTTCAGGAACACTCGGCGGGTCTGCCAACTGAGGAGAGGACTTCCGCCCTCTGAAGAAACAACCACAGGGGACATGGGGTTACCTTGTACACAGGTGGCCTGGTCAGCATGCTGTCTTTCCTTGGGCCGCACCAGGAGACTGAGGCATATTGGCAGCCCAGAACCTTCAGGGCAGGGGGTGAGCAGGGAGTACTCCAGCTGCCAGGGACCAGCTGATCTGTAAGTCAGCCCTCAGTGTCCCAAGGCAAAGATCCGGCCCCAGCTCAACCTGCCCACTGCCGCCACCACTTCCCCGCAAAGGGGACACTTTTCTTCTCACTTCGGTCCTTGGGTTTTCTTTTAGTGGTCACGACCAGGAAGTTTGAAGTTTTAGTCTCAAGTGACAGGCTAGCAAACAGTGTTTTGGTTTCAGTTAAAACCATGTCTTTATTTAGAAAGCTGATAATAAGAGGAGTCAGTTGGGTACACATTTTAATCCGGAATCCTACAGACATAAAGGAGACACAACATAAAAAAAGCAGAATTTTGGCCACTAATATTTTCATTCATTTCTATCTTTGAATTTTAATTACAATAACGAAGTAAGCAAGTCTATACAGGTTATTATGTAGTAGACAAAGTTGCAGTGATTTAAATTATTTGCAGATCCACAAAAATAGGTTAACTTGGAGGAGTTACTATAAAATGATAATCATTGTCACGGATTAAAACCCCATTCTACCCGTGTACAATTTAAAACCACCACCACAAACCTCTCGGCAAACTATACAAGAAGGAAACCTTGTGTCTCTGGCGAAGGCCATCAGTAAAACAGATAAACACCTAAGGCTAATATCATACTTCACGGTGAAACGTTGAGCGCTTTCTCCCTCAGATGGGGACAGGGCAGGAATGGTCTGCTCTGACCGGCAGGTGTGTCTGGCCGACACCGTGTCTGTCACATACTAGTTGTCCAGGACATGGCTGGCTGACTGAGTGCAGGAGGGGAGGAGAGGACTGCAGAGGGGCTCTATAAGGACATGAACCCCAGGTACAGAGGGGCCCTCTAAGCAGGGCCTGGGCACGGAGGGGCAGGGCTGACTTGAGCCGGGCCCACTGGAGGAAACAGGTTTGTATATCTGGACTAGGGGCAGGGACAGAGCAGACTTTGGCTGGGAGGCAGGGTGAAGGCTGACACCAGAGGCCAGCTCCTTCCACTGACAGCATTCCCCAGGCAGCTGGGGAAACTGGCTTACCACCCCTGCCCCCAGGCTGCCTTCCTTAGAGCTAACACAATTTGCTTTCCCAGTGGTTTTGTGTGAGAGGTGACAGCCAACCCAACACATTTCTAGGCCCGTGTAGGACGCCCAGGAAAGGATTCATTCCCCACCACCACTTTAGTGCTCCAACATGCACACATATGCACACACATACACACACACTCTCTCAAGATTCTCGGTTCAGTCAGAGTGTTCCCCGTGGATTAGCCTGGTCCTAGGCGATCCCCTCTTCTACATCACAAACAAAGGAGCCAATGAGATACATTTTGCATGCCCCCCAACACTTAGGTCTCCACAAATATTTGTGGAGTGAATGAAAGTTCCCAAAAACAAAAAAACAAAAAACAAAAAACAAACTAGCTGTAAGACCCTGTAAATTGGTTAGGCTCTGAAGAGTTCTAGAGGAATGTGACATTAGGCTACAGGTTGAATATGGAGCAGGACTAAGGAAAAGCTGAGCAGGAGGAGAAGAAATCTGTGTGTGATGTTGGATGAGCTGTCTGTTTACTCTTGTTTCCAGAACAATGGAGCTCACCACTGACGTCAATGTGCGTGAAGAAACAAAAGGCTTTTGGGTGTGTGCAGGGTGCAGCTGGACCTGGATTTGCTTGGTGTGTGTGTGTGTGTGCTGGGAGGGGTGAGGAGGGTGTCTAGAAGTCAGTGTCAGAGAAGCAAGAGGAGGGCCACTATCCTCTTGGAGTGTGAGCCGCGCATAGCAGGCCCCCCAGGGCTTCCATGGGAAGGGCTATCCTGATTAACTTTATTTGCTCCAGTTTGCATCTGGGACTGACAAAGTTGCATACACATCTTGCCAAGGAGAAGGAAAGAAGTGACTCCATCCCAGGAATTCCCGAGTGTGGGTTTGCCTGCTGGAAGAACAGGACCAGTGCAGGGACAGACCAGAAGCCCCTTCAGCCCTTCTGAGCCCAGCCAGCCCACTCTCCCTGCAAGGACCCTGCATTTTCAGAGTCTGCCTTGGAGGCTGTGTGCTCTTTCATGTCCTAGGAGCAGGTATCAGGCCTCTAGCCGGTCTGAGAGGAAGTTCCACTCTCTCCTGGCTTCACGGACCCCAGACAATGCTTACTGAAGGAAAAATGGCCACAGCCATGGTGGTCCAGATCCAGCCCCGTCTCCCAGAGCCCTCTGCCCCCGGCCCGTGTTGCCTTTGGAGCTTGAGCCTTCTGAAAACCTTCCTTTCCCCAAAGCCTTTCGTTGCCCGGCTTCAGGCACTGCTCACTCCGTGGGCCTTCTGCGGGTAACTCTGGCCTTGGTTAATCTACGATCCACACCGCCCAAATGATTACGGTCCCTCTTCAGGAATGAAACGGTCCTTCTTCCTTGATGACGTGGTTGGGAACACGTCATTTATTTCTTTTGTACCTCCTCCTAGTAAAAATGACCCTATTTGCTGAATCAAATATTGCGACACGTGATCTCAAAAAGCAGCAAGACCGCCTGGAAGCTGGCCGTCCTGGTCGATGCCGAACGAGGGTGGACCTCGGAGGCCCGGTGGCCATGCACCGGGCGCTCCCACCCCCCGGCAGCTCCAGCGCCTGGCGGAGAATGAATGGGAGTGAGTAAATGAATGAATGGGAAGGAGTGAATGAAAGAGGTCCGCAGGCAGCTTCTCGCGGGGGCGCGCCCCGGGCCAGTTGGCGAAGGTGGCGGCCTTCCAAGGTCTGAGCTTCAGGGAGCGTTGGGTGTCCGCCCGGCCCGACCGAGGTGCCCCAGAGCTGGTCCGGTCCCGCGCCGGGCTCCCCCCGGCCGCGGTGGTACGCACCACTCAATGCTCCCCGAGCCCGCAGACGCCGGCGGTCTTGAATGGAAGGCGCCGAGGCCGGAAGTGGAAGGGACCACTCGGGAGGATGAGGAGGGGGGACAAGCGCGTCGCGTCTCCATTGAGGAACCGACGCGGTGAACATGGAGTTCCATGTGCGTCTTATGTAAAGAGAGCGACGGGCGCTGCAGCCAACGGACACGAGGTGCTCGGAGGCTCCGCCCCCCCAGTATGCAGATAAGGCTGGGCTTCGGCCAATGGCGGGAGCCGGGGGCGGGCGCGGCGCGAGCAGTCACGTTTTCCACTATGTGACAGCGGCGGCGGCGCTGCGGGGTAAGGGCTGCTGTCCGCGGCGGCTGTGGGGTGGACGGACGGACGCGCGGACGGACGCGCGGACCGGCGGGGACGCGGCTCGGTGAGGGCTCGGCGGGCGCGACGGGCGCTGCGGGCGCGGCGGGCGGACGGGCCGGCGGCACCAGGCTGGGGAGCCGGCCACAGTCCCGCAGCCGGGCTGGTTACGTAACCGCCAGGGTGGGCCTTGGGCCGGGCGGTCTGGGGTCCGTGGACAGGCTCTGGGCGGGCGGCGGCGGCTCCTGCAGCTCATGGAGGCGTGATCCCAGGATTTTCTGGGCTATTTGACTTCTTCTCTGCTTAAAACCGGCCTGGGGGATGGTGGTGGGGGGGCGAGTACTGTTATCCCCATTTTACAGATGGAGAAAGTGAGATCCAGAGAGGTTAGGCAACTTGTGTAGGGTCATGGAGCTACTGAGTGACTGCCACATGGGACTGTTGTTCTGCAGATGATTTTCTTTTAAGGACGCACTCACTCCTCCCTGCGTCCCATGGAGAGAGGGCGGGAAAGGCTAAGGAAACTGAGATTTAGTCCACCGGTCCTTGGGAACATGCAGGGCCCCTTAGGGAGCTGGTTTCCTCCTCAGGAAGTCTCAGGCTGGGGAAGGGCCACTGATGGACACTGGTCTAGGAGCATTACCTGGTCAGCCCATGGGTCCTGTGGACTGGGTGAGCAGAGAGGCAAGAAAGTTCCAGGGCCAAGCTAGGCCTAGAACCCTGGGGGCAGGGAGGCCACAGCCACAATCCACCCCCTTTACCTCTCCCCAACCTCCCTGTTTATTCCCTCTCCTCAGACTAAGTAGAAGAGGGTCCCACTTTGTGATGCAGCAATCACACCATCTTTTTTTTTTATAATTTTTAAAAAGAATTGATTTATTTGACAGAGAGATCACAAGTAGGCAGAGAGGCAGGCAGAGAGATGAGGAAGCAGGCTCCCCACTGAGCAGAGAGCCTGATGCAGGGCTCGATCCCAGGACCCTGAGATCATGACCTGAGTCAAAGGCAGAGACTCAACCCACTGAGCCACCCAGGCACCCCAATCACACCATCTCTTGTGGGTCACCTTGGCTGCCAAAGCGTAGACATGGACCAGGGGGTGGGTAGTGGCCTGCTTAAGCACTCCAGGAAGGCCAGGTAAGGGATGAGAACCCTGTTGCCAGGGTTTCTGTAACCTCCACAAAAGAGAGCAGTATGGAAAGCTGATTCATACAATAGAGCTAGAAAAAACCCTCGAAATCAATCAGGGCAACACCTTGGCTTGACAGATTGGGAAACTAAGGCCCTGATGCCTGCTGCGCCCAGGCTTGGGCTGTCTCCAGAGTCTTTCCATATTCTGAGGGTCTTGATCTGGGTCGGGATGAGCTTCAGACATTCTACGAAAGCCTGCAATTGGGTGCTGAATGCTGAGTGGGCTGGAGTTTGAGGGGAGGAGCCCCAGGTCCCCCAAATGTCAAGAACACCAGCACCACGTCAGAAGCTCCTCTATGAATACAGCTCACCTCCTGTTTCTGATACCAGGGGCCACTGCCTTCTCCCTGGCTGCAAAGGAGATACACCCCACCCTCTACCCCCATCTGGGGTTTCTTGTCTGGGGCTGGGTTTGACTGAGAATGAATAGGGCTCTCTCTGAAGGCTTTAATTGGAAATTGAGCTCTTACATACAAGGTTAATCACTTTTTGTAAGGTGTAGGAGTAAAATAAGGGAAAGTGCTCCTCTTTTTTTAAGCGGAAGCTACGTGATCTGCCAGCTCAGAGATGGCACTGTGGGTGTCCTCCGTGATCTGTCACCAGCATCTTGGTGTGATTCACTGGTACAGAACAAGCACAGCCTGGCTTTCTGTGGGGGCTGGGGTGCTGGGCAGAGAGGGGTGACTCAGCCACCGTTCTGGGACTCCGTTTTCTCATCTGCACAGAGGGGCTCAGATCAGGCAACCTCCCAGGCCTGTGTCCACTCCTAGGTTTTTGGGTTCTGGTTACTCTATGGATGATTTCCTCAGGCCCCTACGCAGGGGACAGAGGGGTCTGATGTGACTTCAGATCCCCTAACGTTCCCCCATGAGCCACGTCTGCCATGCTTCGAAGGACGGAGGAAAGGTTCTCTTCGTTGGCACTGTTTCTTGTGCACACACTCAACTTTCAGAAAAATACTGGTGGGCATGGCTCTGTTTTTAAATGGTGATGTAACTTCGCCGGGCCTCAGCAACCCAGGCTTGGCCGGGTTACTAAGTGGCTGGCAGGACCTCTCAGCATTTAGTCAAAAGGAGAGGGATGCTGAAAACTGCCCTTATGGGCAAAACTAAGACGAGACACATAACCCCTCTGTGCACCTGCTCCACGCCCCTCCCACCCTCTACCCCCTGGGAAGCTGGTCCACTTGCAGACCCAGCAGAGACCCGGGGAGGTCTGGACAGGAGCCTCTGATGGGTACTCTCCCTGAGCTACTGTTTGGTTCCAACTCTCTAAGCCCCACGTCTGTGACAAGCTTGTTACTGTGTTTCCTCGTCCAGAGCAAATCAGAAGCAGTAGGTGAGTAGGGAGGGCAGGCGGTCATGGCCACGGGCATTATCAGCAGGGAACAGTGGTGGAGGGGACTCCGGCCCTGAGCGGCCCTGCAGGATCCCCGTGCTCCTGCAGGCGACAAGGGAGCAGTGGAACAGCTCAGGTGTTCGCAGGTACCCGGAATAACTCCTTCCGTGGACGCTGAGGCCAGGAAGCTGATGTTTTTGCCTTGTCACTGTTTTAAGTCTCATGCTTCTGTGTATTTAAGGCTTTGGAAACAGAGTTGAGAGAATCCAAAGGAGTCTTAGTGAGGCCGAGACATGCGTCTCTCCTGCCTTCCTCCCTTCCATATTTGGACTGCATTTTCCTCGGTTACCCAGCTGTTGCCATGGAGAGCGCGGGTGTTTATTTAGCAGGACAAACATTTTCTCCAGATTACAGCAGGCTGGCCTCAGGGAATTGGCTCCTACCAGGAAGGAGCAAACATGTTACAATATTTGCGGCTATAAACTACCATGGGCTCTGAGACACAAAGTCCAGACTGCGAAAGCCCTGTTCTGTAAAGTGTGAAAACAGACGGAATTCATCCTCCTGTCACAAGTCAGGCTGGTGGTGATCCTGGGGGTGCATGATGGCTGGGAGGGCCACCAGCAGCCTCAGAGGGGGACTGGTAGGGTTCTACCTCTGGAGCTGGGTGCTAGCCGCACGGGTGCACTCGCTTTGTGGACATACATGGATTAAAGACACTGACTTATAATTTCCACAAAGAAGTGCAGTACCATCCCCTTAGGCTCAAGGGCTCTGAGTGTGAGAAGCTTTCACCTGTCCCGGAGTCCTGGCGGTGGCAGTGGAGGGTGGACCCGAGGCCCAGGCTGTGCTTTCATTCCCAGTGTTTTTCCCCATTGATCACAGAAACTATGAATACATGTGAAAGTAGAGAGGATGGCGTAATGAACCCTCATGAATTCATCAGCCGGCTTTAACCAGCTGGCTCGAGGCCCCTCTCCTTCCCTGCCCCCACCCACTTCCTCCCACTCCGGTATTATTGTGAGGCCCGTCCCAGACTGTGATCTCACTGCAGACTGTTCTTTATAAATGTTTCTCTGTCCAGTCAAGGCAGCCCTCGCGCTTAAGGCGTGATCACGTGACCAGCATCAGGGTCCAGGCCAGCTCTCTGCCTTCAGTCTGCCCATTCTCTGCGGCAGAGCTAATGGGCGGACATCTGCAAAGGGGGGCAGCAAGGAGACTCTAGGGACAGGTCCACCCCAGCCTCCCCAGCAGCCCCTTTTCAGCCTGGCTGTCCTTTCCTTTCTGGGGCCCTCTGGGGCCCCAGACTATGAGCACCTCTCCCCAGGGGTGGAACCAGGTTTGCCCAGGGATGCCCAGGGTCCCGGCAGGGCTGGCACGTGCTGGTGCTCTGTAAATGCTTGTGGAAGGCAGGAGGCGAAGTATGCTTTGATGAGCAAGTTGGTTTTGCCAACTTGGCAACATGAGGTCTGTCCATTAGAGCCAGTGGTGCTGAGCAGTGCGTTTTCTGGAACAGTGAATTTTCAGGTGATTTGGTTGGCTTGTTGCTTCACATTTCTGCCATGCTTGTCTGCCCCTCTTTGCGAAGATTTATCTCACCTAAGGTAGTCTTGTGACTCCTATTCAATGAATCTTACTCAGACTTTCGAGCAGGGTCTGGGAGGGCAGCAAAGCCAGGAGTTTTTGAGGAGTGGAGAGACAAGCCCCTGGGGCACACATCGAAGCAAAGCATGTGACGCCTCCGTCCAGGGTATGTCTTCATTGCCTGAGCTGGGGATGGCAGGCTGAGCCCTTGTCTTTTTAAATACAAGCCAGAGACCACTCTGGTGGCAATGAAATACCTGCTTTTTTTTTTTTTTTAAGAATTTATTTATTTATGTGACAGACAGAGATTACAAGTAGGCAGAGAGGCAGGCAGAGGCGGGGGGCGGGGGGGAAGCAGGCTCCCTGCTGAGCAGAGAGCCCGATGCGGGGCTCGATCTCAGGATCCTGGGATCATGACCTGAGCAGAAGGCAGAGGCTTTAACCCACTGAGCCACCCAGGTGCCCCAAAATACCTCCTTTTAAAAAATTATTTTGTTACCCCATCTGTTTTCCTGCAGTGATTGGCAGTGATGATAGAAGCTAGCCTCTGTTGGCTGCAGCTGCGTCCCAGACACTTGGCACATACAGGCTGTGACATTGAACCCTCCCAGCAAGCCATGAGAGGCAGGAGCTGCTGTCAGCCCTCTTACAGATGAGGAGACAAGGCATGGGAGGCTCATGAACTTGCCCAAGATCACGGGGTCAGGAAGCAGTGGAACCCACTGATGCCCTTACCATCCAGGGCAGCTCGCTTTACCCCTCATCCTTTACACCTCACTCACAGAAGGGATACGGGCTGCTTGTCTGGGGAGGGCCGTGGGATGGGACGGATGAAGCGCAGGGTACTGGGGATGGGGCGGGTGGGTAGGAGAGAGGGAATGCTGTTGCCCCTGCCCCTGGGGTAGCCCGTTGGCCACTCTACTGAACTGTAGTGAGAACCTCTGCAGAGGTCTCCTTGCCTCCAGCCCGTAAGTCCATTAGAATTTAAGTCAGATCCTGTTGCACAGAACTCAGTTTCCCATCTCACTCAGAATAAAGCAGAGTCCTTGCTCTGCCCTTGTGAGGTGCCCTGTGATCCAGTTCTGACCCCGTATGACCTCCTTGCCCACTCTGCTCCAGACTGCACCACCTTCCTCAAATGTCCTGCCTCAGGACCTTTGCAGTTGCCCCTCCACCCCAAGCCTACAATGTTCTTTCTCTAGCACCTTCCCGGCCCACTCTCTCACTTTCTTCAGTCTGTCTTCATTTGGGTTCTCTTAAAAGCAGAACACCTGATGCTAGCATTTCACTGGGGGGAGCGAGAGTGAGCGAACAGGGGAGCAGAGATGCTGGGACACAGGCTGGTCTGTTAGCCCGCGGGGGCCTCATCAGAAAGCCTCATCAGAAAAGAAGACAACAAGAAAAAAAAAAAAAAGAAAAAGAAAAAGAAAAAGAAAAGAAAAGAAGACAAGAAGAAAGGATAGAAAGAAGAGCTTCCGAACTCCATTCAAGGGAGGGATGGGGGGGTTACCTGCTGACCTGTCCTATCTCCCATCCCCCACAGCCAAAGTTCACCCCAGGGGGTGTGCTGTCCCTCTGGGCCAGTTGCTTCCCTGGCCCCTTCCGCAGCACCTGGGGAGGCAAGGGCCCACCCACATTGTGGGCTGCTTCGGCTAAGGCCATGCGTGGCCAGCCTGGCCAGAGACTCCGGGCTGCCTCAGGTGTGAAGCCATGAGGATCAGGGGAGCGTCTTCTCAGACGCAGCCACAGGTTGGGGGAGAGAGCGGTCAAGAGGCTGTGAATCAGCACCACACACGGGGGCTCAGGTACAAGGTAAAGTGCACTTGCCTTCTCCGGAGGCACTCCCAGCATCTCCCATGCCGCACCCCTCATCTGCTCTGTTGTTGTTTCTTGGACCGCTTAGCATTCTAAGCCATTACATGCCATTCCCTTGTGGATCATCTCTTGTTCCCACTGGGATGTTAGTGACATGAGGGCAGGGAGGACATCCGTCCCATTCTCTGATGTCCAGAAGCGCCGTGTGTTGTCCGGAGCGAGTTAATCAGTGGAAGACGGCATCTAGCCCTGCCTAAATGCCGTCTGTCCCACTGTTGTTCTTTATTGTTCTATAACTTGTTCCTTGGTGTCCTAGAATCTTCCTCTGTCGATGTGTCTTGTTTTCCTATCTTTAGTAGGTACCTAGTATTCCCTAGCACAGATGTCCCAGGCTTGATGTCGCTAACTGTATGTGCGGGCTCTGGGGATACAGCAGAGGACAACTGAAGCTCCTGCACATTGGGGTGGAGTCCAGCGGTGAACTGGAGGACCGGAAGCCAGGCAGGGGGTGTGGGGCAGGTGGGGGAGGAGTCAGTGCTGTTTGTGCAGGATGAGCAGGTTCTTGGCAGGGTCCTGTGGGCACCAGGGAGCAGCAAGTGCAAAGTCCCTGGGGTCAGAGTTCAGGGTCAGGGCCGAGGAGGCGGCCACAATGGGAGATGCTCAGGAGGCAGCCAGGGAGGCCACACAGAGCTGCAGACACCCATGCAGACTGGGGCTGTGCTCTGAGCCAGGGGGAGCAGAGGACTGGGGTGGGGCCAGGGAGGCACAGACCCCATTTGGAAATTGAGGCTGGGACTGGCCAGGGACTGGATCCACTGGCCACTGGATAGTGGACAAGATGCCTAAGTTGGGATGCCAGTAGCCTCCCTGTGGTTGGTCCTTGGATAGTTTTCTCTCTCCATACAGCACACTCCTGGGTCTTTGTGCACACATACAGGCATTTCTGGGAAGTGGAGAGGCCTCCTAGCAGGGGGAAGGGCGAGGGTTATAAAAATGTCCTGGGCATGCCCAGAGTCCCGTCCAGAAAGACCATTAGTGACCACAACACACAAAGTCCCCCACCTTGCACAGATGGACACTAGATGCCATCTGTCCTGTCGATTCTTGGTGACCTCATTCTTTGCATCTTCCTCACGACTAATGAGGTTGAACATCTCTCCAGGTTTGTGGATCTTCAGTGTTTCCCTTTGTGGGGATAGCCCATCCTTATTCTCTGGTCTCTGTCTTTCCAAAAGTGAGCACTTTCCGTGTTCTCTTTGAGTCAGCTAAGGCATCTCTGAAATGTTAAAAAACAAGCAGACCAAACAAAGACTGAGGAGTAGACTTGCTTGTTTTGTTTCTAACTTTGGTCAGGTGTTTCACTGGTCTGGGGCTTTGGGTTCTCTGTGAGTCAGGATCTTGGCCACCTGCTGCTGCTGAAGCCACAACAAGCAGGCTTGCTTCTCTGGGTTTTCCTCCCTTTGACCACAACCTTGGAGACCATCTTCCGTGTATCAACTCTGGGGCCTGTTATCTTCTGCCCAAGACTCAGTGACTTTCCATCCTTTGTAGGTAACCTGTTTGTTTTTCCTGTTTGCATGTGAGTAGATTTTTTTTTCTCTTGAAAACATCGTTTTACATCGGGACAGCTCTAAGCTTGGACTCTTCATGTAACTTTGCGTGGTGTTCAAGGAGTCCTTCGACTGGCAGTTCCAAGTCTGTCTTCAGCCGGAATGGTTCTCTTGGTACGTGTCTTTCATTAGAGTCTCTGTTTCACTGTTGTGACATCTCTTTCAGAAAGAGCTATTTTTACCTGCAGGTAAAAACACAGCTCTGATGTAGCTGCTCTTTTCCTTGGTGCTTTTCTAAGTTCCTCGCACTCATCCTCCACATTTCTGGGGCCATCTTCTTCGTTATCTACTCTGGACTTGGTCTTTATGATTCTCTGTTCTACGGTGGCATTTTCCTCTCACTCTGTGGCTTCAGCTCATCCTTCATTACTTGTTTTCTTAAATCCACCATTTCTTGATTTTTCTTTATGCTACAGAGTAGGTGCCATTCTGAGTCTGCTGGTCTCCCCATGCCATGCAAGTTGTGTTCATCTGCTCTTTGCTGCACATCTTTTTGGAAGACTCACATTAGCTTTTTCCCATTTGTTGCTTCCTATACAAGACAAGGTCTGATGAGACCTGCTGTTTTCCAGAGAATGGTGTGGTTGGATTCTCCATGGGTCCTCATCTTCAGAAGCAGGCAGGCCTGGGATCCAGCATTGTCACCTGCCTTGTGTGGCCTCAATCAAGTCACTGGCCTGTTTTCTCATCCCTAGACAATGAAGAATGGTCTCTGTTATGTGGTATCTGGTGGTCAATGATCATAAGGGTTATATGGAACAGTGTGTGTGTATAGTTGTCTCTAACAACCAGGTGTCTGGCCTGTTCCTTGGAGCACTTGGAAGCTGTGTGGTGCACACTGCCTGCGCCCAGAGACTCTGCTCAGTCAGGGCCCTCGGGATCTTCCCTCCCCCACTCAGTGCCCGGGGCTGGCCTTCCGGGACTGTGCTAGTGGGTCCCCTTACTATCTGGGTTCCTGACCACAAAGGTCAGGAGGAGAGAGAAGCCAAGGGTTTACACCCCCAGCTCTGTTCCCCCAAATTATAAGTTGTCTGGGTTCCTCTGGTTTCAGTAACCCTTAATTCCTGCCCTCCAGGCCCAGGGTAGTAACAGCTTCCCCCTCCCCATGCCTGCCTAGCTTCCAGGCCCAAACATCTTTTGCTTCCTGCCAGGACCCTGAGAAGATACCATACTGGATCCTTCTCTCCCTAAGACGTCTCTCTCCCCATCCTTAGGCTCCTGGTTGAACCTCTCCCACCTTGCATACTCCCTGCTTCTGCTCATCCCCGGGGTTGTCTTCCAGAATTATTGCAAAAACCTTAAGGGCTGGTCTGTCTCTTTCAGCCCCTCTCTACATTCTTACCCCAAACACGGAAGTTCAAGTTTTTATGTAGCACAGTGGTGAGGACCTTACAAATGCAACAAAGATCATTTATCTGGTACTTCCAACCCTTTCGTGGCCTGGTGATGCCCCCCCCTACAGCCACGTGCACCCCCATGCTGCTGTTGGGGCTCCCACCTTCTTGGCCCCCTTCACAGAGCAACACCTGCTTCACAACCTCCTCTCTCCCTGAAGTCTCCCTACTTCTGCAGCCTCATCTGGGGTTCCCCCTACATACAGCCTGGGCTTGGTCTCTCCTGTAGCTTGTGATAGCCAACACTTCCGAACGGTGCTGCTCCCCGCCATCACCTGGGGAGATTTCCCCAAGGCTCCCCACGTGTTGGGTGGTGCCCACTGATGCTCTTTCATCCTCTTGTGGCCTCCCAGCTAATCCGACAGCAGTTTGATGACTAGGGGCTGTGGCCGCAGGATTCATCTGCCTTCCTGATTCCCAGCTGGTAGGAGAGAGGAGCTAAGAGCCCAGTGGCTAGGAACAAAGAGTACCCGTTATTGACCCTGACTGCTCCCGGCATCTGCGGTAAAATTCTGGGGAGCACTGCCCATGATGGCCGTGTGACGGCCCGCACTCCCCAGGGCCTGATGACATTTCTCTCTCCCCAGCTTCACTGCAGAGCCAACATGAACGGATATGCCGAGTACCCCCCAAGCCCCGGTCCCCCTGTCCAGGAGCCAGAGGAGACTGAGCCCCGCGGAGCCCAGCTCCAGGAAGATGTGCACATGTGCAGTGGCTCCAGCGGGAATGAAACTGAGGAGAACTGCTCCCCGGGGCAGGACTGCCGGGGCAGCCAGGAGCTGGGGATGCTGGTGGGGCCGCCCAGCGCCCCCCCTGGGTAGGTGGGGCCTTCGGACCATGGAGGCCAGGCCACTTGTCTGTTTTTTCAGCATCTCGTCCCACTGTCTGATCGCTTTTGTGGTCTTTAAATCATGATTCCCATGTTTTTCAACATTTAAAGAAAATCTTATTAATTGAGAATAACTAAAATTTACTATAATGATGCTGCTGTTGATGTTGACCCCCTGACTGCGGATGGATAGATGCCGAGTGAGCATAGCGAGATCTCAGGAGCGGGGGGACTGGTGGCTCTACTAGCAGCAGGTGTCTGTACAACATGACCTTGCTCTGTCAGTCCTCCCAGTACATGAGACTTGAAGGTCTTACGCTCCGACTTTATCTTAACCCTGTGTTTCTTGTAATTGTCTTACTGTGTGTGGGATAATCTGGATTGTCATCACTGGTTGGATGAGGGGGTGGACAGAACCTGCAGTCCTCTGAGACTGGCCTTTATTTCTCGTGCTCACAGTCCCAATACCTTCGACCTCATGATGGCAAAGTCCGAACACAGCACGTCTGCAAGTGGCTGCAGGTAAGGCCAGTCACAAGTCCCTTGCTTTACGGTCTCAGAGGACTGGAGATTTGTAATTGGAGGTGAGTTTGGGGGTAATGTGGTATTTTGCAAGCCTCTGCTAGAACCTGTCGGTCTGTGCAGCTGTCTGGGCTGGGAGCTGGCCTCGCCCTCTCAGACCCCAGCTGCTCAGAGCCCCTTATGATGCTCCGGGTCTGGAGCTCCTACAGCTCTGCCTTCACAGGCTTTGTCTGCACTATAGACATGTTCATCTGGAACATTCCTCCCCCTTTCTAGGTGTTGGTAACAACAGTATCCTTAATTTCACATCCACAGACATTTTCTTTTCTTTTTAAGATTTTATTTATCTGAGAAAGAAAGAGAGAGAGCACGAGCGGGGGTGGGGAGGGAGGGAGAAGCAGACCCCCCACTGAGCAGGGAGCCTGACACAGGACTTGATCCTAGGACCCTGGGATCATGACCTGAGCCAAAGGCAGGCGCTTAGCCACCTGAGCCACCCAGATGGCCCCCCACAGACATTTTCGGATCACCACTGGAGCAAACTCCAGCTCTCGGGCCTGGGTGTGTGGGCATCTGGCCATCTTCTCCTGAGACCTGACTCCTGCTTTCTTTCTGTACTCTCTGCTCTAAACAGGGAAGGGCCCACCTGTTTTGTCTTCTTCCCATCTCTGTAGCCTTATGTTTAGAGCTCTTTCATACAATTCTTCCCTCCTTATGGTCTTCCTGTGTTCCTCATTCATGTTTCTGCCACAGGACACCAGTTGGCTGTCCTCTGTCATTTCCATTGCTCTATCCTTTTCTGTCTGACACAGGGCAGGAAGGCACAGGTTTGAGGGGCAAAGCCCAGCTCCAGCCTGGGGGGTGGGGCAAAGAGCCCAAGATGGGGTGGGCTTCTGCAGTCCCCACTTAGGTGAGTGTAGTGGTTCTAGGCTAGAACTTTCCATCTCCACAGGACATGGGTGGCAGCATCAGGAGACATCTTTGGTGGTCACAGTTGGCAAGGAGACTTCTGGCCTCTGGTAGGGAGAAGGCCAAGGGTGCTGTGTATCCTGCAGTGCTCCACAGAGAACCACACAGACTAATATCTTAGTCGTCAGGATGAGAAATGGGACTAGAAGTGCAGGAAGGAGGAATCGGGAAGCTAACATGTGATCGCCTCTTTCTTTATTGCCGTAACAGCGAGCAGTCCGCCAAAGCAGACACGCACAAGGAGCTGATAAAAACGTTAAAGGAGCTGAAGGTCCACCTGCCAGTAGACAAGAAGGCCAAGGGGAAAGCCAGCACACTGGCCACCTTGAAGTACGCGCTAAGGAGCGTGAAGCAGGTGAAAGGTACATCCGGCTCATGTATTTGTTCCCAACTTGTTGAAATAATGTGGATTGTGTCGACTTTCTAAAACCCAACCCTGAAATTGCAGTAGGAAATTCTAGAAGTCTGAAGTCTTTACAACGTTTCTACTGTACTTGACTTTTAGAGGAAAAAACAAAACAAAACAAAACAGGTAGAAAACCGGCTGATAAAAAGGAATGTATTTACGATGTGAAGGTTTTCTGCTGTGGGATGGGGTCAGGTCAGGAGAGCCCAGCATCCTCCAGGCTCTGGCCGGAGCTGAGCTGGAGTTCACTGAAATAGATGAGCAGCTCCGAGTGCAATTTCAGAGTAACACCTACAGTGTTGAGCTGAGGGCTGGTTGTTCCTTTGAAAAATAACAAGATCTTGCCAGATCTTATCCTCACAAGACAGTACTTTAGAGCTCCTGCACCTAAGACCTTGGGCAGTCCATTTCATGTTCATCTAGAAAGGCATGGATTTCCATCCAGGTTGTCTTTTATTCAACCAGGAAACCAGGACAGAGTGCCTCCTTCCATCCCCAGCACACAGTGGTAAGCCCTCCACGGTCCACATTCTGCTTCTATTGTGGACATGCTTGGACCTTTTTATTAGGTGACAGAAACTGTAAGAGCTTTTAGGACTGGTCCATGGTCTAGACCAAGGCTTTCACCTGAGAACACGTGTGCGGAAGTCTTCATAGATGCAGTGCAGGAATCCACGAACGAACACTGCAGTTGCCAAAATATTTACATCATCAGCTCAGAACCTTGACATTCAATAAACTCCAAGCCCCTTATATAACTTCCAAGAGCCCTGAGTCTTCCTTCCCTTGCTGCTGCAGCTGGACTCCCGCTGAGCAGGTGCCCTGCTGCCCCCCACCCCATCTTTTGGGTCTGTCTCCAGGGTAGTAGAACACACCGCTGTGGGGGAGGTGCCAGCATTTCTAGCAAATCATGAACTTGACTGCTCATCGAACTCCTGCAGACACCCATCCCTGGAGGTTTGGGCCGTGACCCCTGCATTCAGGGTCATATCAGGATGCTTTAGCTCTAGGCCGTCAGAAAGGTCCATGCAGCCTTGCCTCTCTGTCTGTCGGTGGGAGTGGGGATGGGAGCGTTGAGAATTTTTAAGTTTCCTCCAGCGTGTCAGAGAAAGCAGCAGGAAGCCTGGAGAAGGTATCCACATGGGCATCCTGATTTTATAGCAGCGAACACTGGGGTGAGCCCTTGTTACACAGGAAACCACCTGTGCTTTGAGGAATTTCTTCACTGTTTCAGTACCTTATGACCAGTAAGCAGGGACAGAAGCCAGGCCAGCATCTCGTTAGGGCAGGTGAGGGAGGTGTTCTCTCCCAGCAGATGTGGGAGCCCCTCCCCTGCTCCACTTTACCTTCACGTATGCGACACACACACGCTGAGGTCCCAGGGGACTCTGTGCATTGGAAATGCATGAAAGCAGAGAAGTCATGAAGGCTGAGTTCAAGGTCAGACAGTGGGCTTTATTCTGTGATCAGTTTACAGGCAGGGCAAGGCTTCTCACAGATAACGATGGATATGAAGTCCTATTTCAAACAGTCTTTGTGTCTTCTAATGTTTGGACAACGTTCGTCGGAAGGGCGTCATTGCCTGTCCCGTAAGGTCTGGTGGGGAGGGCTTGCACCAGGCATGGGGGCCCGGGCTCTGCTGTGTGCTGGCATGCGCTGGCCTCCTGGGTGCCCTCTGCAGCCCCAAATTTCTCTGCCAGCTCCTATCCAAGGCTGTGTCTGTTTGGTGAGGGTTAATACCATGAAAGCAGACACCGTGCTCAGCCAGCCCACCCAAAGGTGCTCATAAACTGCAGGTGAGGGGGGAGGCTCTCTGAAGGGCAGGTCTGCCAGCACCCCTCCCTGAGGACTGCCCCCAGCCTCAGGTGCTGGGTGGGCAGCCCCACGATAGTCTGCCCCCAAGAGCCATATACGTTGTGGGGTGAGTGGCGCTGGCCTTGGGGTCTGTTGGGACCAGTCTCCTGCAGCGTCATTTCTCGCATCTTGTGTTTTTGAGTGAGGGACTCTGTCTGGATGGGGGGTGTCTGTCCCGGCCCCAAGGAGCAGGTGCAAAAACTGCCACAGCCATCCCAAGAGAAAATGTCAGCCTTGTGTCGTGATTGCCAGCAAAGTGAGGGTTAGGAGGAACTCTGTGCCCATGTTATGTAAAATAATGTGTACTTACCATCTAAAAAGTTCTGTAATCAAAGGTCTTCAGATTTTTCAAACTAAAACAGACTTCTGTTTGCTTTGCCTTCACATTTCTCCGCTCCGTTCTCTTGACGTCCCAGGAAGATAGTGTGCGTAGCCCCCTTTCTCATGAGAAGAGTAGAGCCCCCAGCACAGGGAGGTGGGGCCATTTTCAGCCCCCCTTGGTCTCCTCTGCAGCCAATGAGGAGTATTACCAGCTGCTCATGTCCAGTGAGAACCACCCCTGCAGTGCCAACGTGCCCTCCTACACCATAGAAGAGATTGAGAGTGTCACCTCCGAGTTCATTGTGAAGAATGTGGTAAGTGTCAGACATTAGTGACGTCTTAACCCAGAAAGCGGAGCTTCCCCTGGTGAGTTGGCTGAGGCTGAGCACCGGCAGTCAGGGGCTTTAGGACAACAGAGTCTGGAATTTTGGGAAGTCAGCTAAGACCTTAAATAACAATGTAAAGTCCGTGACTCAGACGTAGCTACCGTGTTGGACTCCCGCTGTTTTCTGTGAGTTAGTCCTTCTGTCATGGCTGATCCACCCCCAAACCTTGTGTGTGTAAGAGCAAGTCCCACCTTGACTGAGCAGTAACCAGGTGACCTTAGGCTCCCTTTGTGGGGGTGGGGGGCTGGGATTTGAACTCAGCTGGTGAGACTCCAAAGCCTGTGCCTTTCTAAGCACCCCATAAGGGTGGGGCACCCTTGGAGGTCTAGGGGAAGGGAAGAGAGTTGTCCCTTCCCCTGTGCTCCTGCTTCTCAGAGAGCAGACATAAAGGCAGGTGGGGATCCAGACCTACTGGCATCATGGCAAAACTGGTCTGGAGAGTGGGGCCCCCCGATCCCTCCCATCTCCTCCTTCCGGTGTCCCCACTGTGGCGGAACCCCCTTGGGGCTCTGGGCCAGGGCTCAGGCCACTAGCCAGCTGGGAGCAAACCCAGGCGGGAGCCTCTAGCTGCCCGGGCAGCACCACCTCCCCCGCGGCCCCCCGCACCCTGGGAGAGAGAGGGGCTGGCAGAGGTTTGTGGTTGTGGGTCCCAGCGAGAGGGAAGGGGCTGGAGGGGGGAGCCCAGAGGCCTCTCCTAACCTCCCAGATCTGTGACCCTTGGGGAGGGGCAGCCTGTCCTCATGCAGCTGCTGCTTCCTTCCAGGGTATGTTTGCTGCGGCCGTGTCCCTGGTCACTGGGAAGATCCTGTACATCTCTGACCAAGTTGCCTCCATCTTCCACTGTAAAAGGGACGCCTTCTATGGCGCCAGGTTTGTGGAGTTCCTGGCGCCTCATGACGTGAGCGTGTTCCACGCCTCCACCACGCCTTACAAGCTCCCGCCCTGGAGCATGTGTAGCGGAGCAGGTGAGGTCCCCAGGGCGGTGGCCCAGCTGCCTGGGCTTCTTCATCTGTGGTGTGTAGAACGTGGGGGCTGCTCCTTCCAGGGCGGGGGCAGGGGTGGTTTGCGGGCACCGTAGGCTGAGCCATGCGCCCCCTGCCGGCCCTGCCTCGCGTCAGGCTTCCCAGCCAGGCTGGACAGCCCTGCTGTGGCAGCAGGCCATGCTCCATGGCCTGTCCTTGTCCCCCTCCTCCCACATGACCGGGAGGATTCGGGGTCCAGAAGCCTGGACGCTCTTACCGTGGCCAGCGCAGGCCTTTCCCATATGTAGGCACGGGACAGGATAGTTGACCAGAAAAGTCTCAGCAGAAACATGGCATGGGATCCTGGCAGAAGGTACCAGATCAGCTCAGGCCTTCCCTGCAACTACTCCCATCCCCCAACCCCACCAATGCTTTCAGTGAGCAGAGTGGCCAGCAGAAGCCCGCTCTTGACCTGTGAGTCTGGCAGCATCTGTCTGCCTGCCCCTCACTGGGCCCTGGTCCCTCAGAGCTGAAGGTGAACACATGGGCAGAAACACTAAGCAGCCAGGACAGGTGATGGGAAACAGTGGGCCTGGGAGTCACTCAGACAGGTGTGACCTCATTCGTGATCTCCTGGATCACAGGTCCCTCTCCGCTGCACACACCCCACCTCCTCCTGCTTGTAGTCAGCCGGCCAGCCAGGCTGCCATTCCACCACCGCCCAGCGCCACCACCGCGTTCCCCAGCTGTACCTTCCTGACAGTGGGCTACCTGGGCATTAGGATTGACTCACAAAAAGAGATGGTCACTTTTGGTTTGGGATATAAAGCTGCCCACCTTCTCCAGAATTCCACCCAAGGACTGCCCAGTCAGGTCCCTAAAGCTTGCAGTGTGTGTCATGAGAACCTGTAGGTCACTGTGTGGAAGGGACATCACTCCACATGTGGGTTTATGGCACAAACGGGCCGGCACCGGCTCCCTGGGATGATTGCCTCCGAGTTTGTGTCTGAACGAAAAAGAAGGACCAGGTGACTTCTCTAGGGCCTTTCCAGGCTGGAAATTTTACACCATTTTCCCCTACTAGTGATTTCCTACTTCTCCTCTTTCTTTTGAATAGAGGAAACTTTATGTGAAAGATCAATGTCTAAGATTTCCTTTTTAAAAAATTCCATATTGTGAAAACACCATTTCCTCATCTTTGATGATGCTGCTGGAGTGACATCATGTTTTTGCTAGGTGTTTCAGATTTTGAAATAGGTTAACATTTTAACAGAAAGATTGATATAAGCTTTGAAGTGACCTGAGTTGCTTCTGTTAGAACTGAATATCCCCCCCAAAATATGTGGGTTGAAACGTTTAGGGCTTTATGTGCAAAAATTCTGCCCATCAGTCTGTCTCCCGGAGTTAAATTGTTAGTTGGTGTGTTTGTGGGAGCCTGTGAACTGTTTCAAAACTGGTAAACAGCTGGTGGTAAGCTTTTAGCATTCCATAATTTGGTATGTGCTACATTCATGAAATATGTTTGACTTTAGTCAGTACTGTGAAGAATGATCTCTAAGGGCTTCACTTTCTGCTCATGCAAATATGCATTCACGCCCTGACTCCATAGCTTGGGGGAAACAGAGTGCTGTCTGTACTGTGCTCTCAGATGGCTGACTTTGTACTCTCTCTCTCAGATTCGTTTACTCAAGAATGCGTGGAGGAGAAATCATTCTTCTGCCGCGTCAGGTAAGCCTGTGACAGGTGTTCCCCAACTGAGAATGGCACAAACCTTCTCTCCTGAGCATCTCTTACGGGGTTGAGGAGACGTAGGACTGCCCCCTACCAGTTCCTGCTGTGCTATGACCCCTGTGTCCCTCCGCACCCCTGTTCTTTAGGGTAGAAGCTTTGTGGGACATGCCCCTGCCACGTGCGCGCATATTCCTAAAAAGTCTATGTGAGAACATCATTTCCATAACAAAACGTTGAGACAGCCTGGTCAACAGTGGGGTGATTTCAGTACCCCACAAAGAGAGCCTGGGGAGCCTGGACTTGGTGTCTGTCACCTGGCAAGCTGCCTGAGGACCCCTCACTGGGAAGGCATGTCCCCCAGGGAGGACGCAAAACACACATGCAGCCTTTAGTTCAAATGTGTGTTTTCCCAGGGAGAGCCCACAGCTCTCTAGCTCTCCCAACAGCAGGCTTTTGGCCCAAAACAAGGTGACTGCTTGAGTGTCCAGTTGCAGGGTCAGGAGCAACCCCTGGCCAGGTCCGGGTGCTCTCAGAAGCTGGGGTTGGGGCCTCACCATTGAAGCAATGTCCATCCCCCCCACCCCCGATGGAAGTGCTCTGGAGCAGGGCTCCTGGGAGACCTCCCACCTCCCAGGGCTGTTCACTCTCCTGTCTGCCCTTGATGTCATGGGCATCTGAGCGTGTGGGGCCAAAGCACACACCACAGGCCCAGGCCAAAGCACCAAGCTTGGCCCGGGTTACCAGGCAAGGGGCCTGGCTCTGTGTGGCAGGCTTCTAGACAGCATATGAAAGGACTGCTCTGGAAAGAGCCACTACTGGGGGAGCAGTGACTAGCAAGAAGGGACAATTCCTTCCATCCTAATTGCAAACCTCTAACTGGGCCTCCTCCACAGCGTTGGGAAAACCCACGAGAACGAGATTGACTACCACCCGTTCCGCATGACACCTTACCTGGTCAAGGTGCGGGACCCGCAGGGCACCGGGGGCCAGCTGTGCTGCGTGCTGCTGGCCGAGAGAGTACACTCGGGCTACGAAGGTAACCGCCTGGCCAGGGGTGGGAGGCGGCTCTGTCTGGTCCCTTGTTGATGGTCCTGGTTCACACCTAATGTCGGTAAGGCTGACCGCCAGCCCTGGCCTTGCCTCCCAGCCGTGGGCAACGTCTCCATCTCCCTCTAGATGCATACCCACATTTGCCCCCTGGCCTTCCCCATACCCGGGGCCCAACCACCTCCCCATGTCTGTTACAGGGGTCCGGGTGCTGGCATATCCCACCCATGACTAGCCTGTTCCACAACCCAAGTGCCCCTCCCCCTTCCCCAGCCACTGCCTTCCATCTGTGTAGTGAGAATGGCCCTCAGCTCCAAGTCCCCAAGCCCCTCCCACCCTTATGCACCCCCACACCCGGAAGAGTGCCAGGACACAACTGCCTGCTCAGAACCCAAACCACGCCCCCGCCCCCCTGACCTGGGCCCATCTACTGTCCCCTGCATTCTCCACCCTCTCCACTTGCAGTGGCTTCTCTAGGCAGGCTGGCCCACTGACTCCCAGTCTGTGCTCCTGCTCTCTCCTCCCTTCCTCTACATGTAGAAAGCCAGTCATCACAGCAGGCTTATCCCACCTGTCCGTCCGTGGTCCTGCTCACTTCTCAGATCTGGGCTTTCCCTTGAAGCCCAAATGGCCCCAAGGTGTTTGGCCACCCTGATTCTGTCCTTCTGGCCACCTCCTCCTACTGAATGGCATCATGACGTGGTCCTTGTGTGGTACCAGCCCCCATACCTGGCCTGGAACCTTCCTCATCCTGGCAACTCAGCCACATGGCTTCAGAATTCTCAGAGGGCAGGCACCGTCTGTAACCGACCACAGGGACCCAGTCCAGTCCACGTTTCCTGGTACTCAGAACCTTGTCCCAGGGGTTGATGAGGTCATCTTTTTTAAACAGGTGTTTCCTAAACTGAGGGAAATGTTTGGTGAGTTTGTCTGCAGAGAACATTCTCTTCCACACGGTCTATAAAGATTTAGAGGGTTACTTAGATTTCAACAAGTTATTCCCTGATATGATGGGAGTCTCCTTCAAGAAGGAAGCTTTGAATTTTGAGTGTTTTGTCCATGAACTTGGCGTTTGAGGGAAATTCTGGATAGATGATTTCCTTTATGCAAATTATTCTACCACCTTTGCCCGCCCTAGAAACTCCGAAGTCCCCAAGACAAGGACGTTTGCTGAGAATTTTGAATCTAAAGACTTAACTCATTTCTTAAAAACAATTTGCTCAGCTCCCTCTTGGATCTTAAAAATCATGAATTTGGCCTTCCCCCGTTATTTCGTTAAGAGATGCCTATGGGTCACGACACAGTTCTGTGAATGTGGTGATTCTTCACTTTCTGGACTAAACCCTCCACAAGGAGGTTAAGAAGGCTGGCTGGCAGTCATCGAGTGTAGGGTCCGTTCCCCGTGCGGTGGGCTCTCTCCTGGGTCTACTTGTGAATTTTCTTCCTTTGCTGCCCATCCATCCAAATCTATGTGGTATTTTCTAGTAGCCGTAGTAGAACTATGCTAAGTGTGTATTTGTTAGAATCAGAAACCTATATAAAATTCTATTCTTTCAGCCCCTAGAATTCCTCCTGAAAAGAGAATTTTTACGACCACACATACACCAAATTGTCTGTTCCAGGATGTGGACGAAAGGTAAGTGTGCCGTGACACTGACCCGTCTGCCGCCCCTCTCCCCCACCTCCCCCTGCACTGGGCTTGTCTTGAAGTCAGGACCGTACCCTTCACAGCAGCTGATTCGGTCACATGCTGGTTAGCGTTTCACCATGATCTTGGTGGTTCCCTCATGGCAATTAAGTAAAGCTCAGTGAACGTTCCTGTTTGACATTGAAGCTGTGTAGCTAAAATGAAGGCTGTGTGTTGGTTTTACGGAGGTGAGAATCCACAAAAAAGTTGAACTATAGGCAACGAAATCATTCTGGAATTGCACTAAAAATCTCCTGCGATGTGAATATTATGTAAAGGGGGTGTGTGGGAGCTGGGCATTGTTTTCATTAAGTATATCTTTATTATCCTGTTGAAACTCATTTTAGAATCGCACGTGAGTGAAAGATGGCACAGCCACGGTGGTGGGCTTGGGCCAGGGTTAGGGTTAAAGCTGGAGACACCATTGGCAGGATCCCAGCAGAGCTGCACATGCCGGCCTGTGTGCCACAGACTGCTCCCGGCGCGGGGGGTAGAGGGGTGCTGGATCACCTCCGTTCTGGTCCAGAGAGTCTGCTCCGTCTCATGCCCGAGGCGCTCTAGCTGGAGTGGGAGCACTGCTGTGAGAGTGTTCTGAGTTGGCTGGCTTTGGGTGAGGCCCCTGGAGTGCCTTGCCCCAGCTCCTCCTGCACGACACCGAAAATACCACTGGCTACTGGCAGGGCTGGGGAAGAGCTTTCCTCAGAAGCCCTGGGGGGAGAGGACCTGGGTGTACCGGCACTCTGGGCTTTTTCTCAAATGGGCCAAGGGGGCCTCCACGGGTGCTAACAAGGACCCAGGCCACCCCACTGCCTACACCTGGCACAGAGGCACCAGGCACCCACCCTGGACAGGCCACAGAGCACAGGACAGCTGGACAGGTGGCCAGGACTCCTCCCCACACTCCCCCTTCCTCCTGCCTTCCCTTCTGCCCTTCCTCTCTTCCTCCTCCCCCTTCCCCCCACCGCCGTCCTCCTTCCCCCTTTCTTTCTTCTCCTGTCCCCTCTTCCACCTCTTTCTCCTCCTCTTCCTCTCCTTCCTCTTCCTCTTTTCCCCTTCCCCCTCCTCCCCCTCACCTTGCCAAGCCTTGACCTGGAAGGGTGCCAGGAACATTTTGTATATCCTGTCAAAGGAAAACATAGGCCTGGAGAGAGTGTGTTTTGGACCAGGAGGAGAAAATCAAATAATAACACTGGGCCCACAAGAAAGTTCCATTCTACTGGGAAACGAGCAAGATTTGCTCTAAAGGCTTGGAGAATGTTCTTCCACTGGAGCTGAGGAGTTGGAGGAAACATCAGCTCAGAGGCAAGAAGACTGGCCTCCAGGGGGAAGGCTGAGACTCACGTCCAGGAGAGGGAACAGTAGCTGAGTGGGCAGAGGACGCCCAACACAGAGGCAAAGGGGCACCAGGAAAGTCACCCCCAAACCTTCCCCCAGAAGGTAGAGTAGCAGTGGCAGGAGAAGAGCGAAGGCGTCCAGCCTACGGCGACTCTGCGGGACTAGACAGACACAGTGGCCAGAGTAATAGGACAAGGGAACCCTCTGGAGCTGGAAAGGAGGCACATAGAGTTTTCCAGAGTCCAGGCAACACTTTTTTTTTTAAAAAAAGGGCCATGCCAGCCCCATTTGGTCGAACTTGCTAATGACACGAAGAAAAGAAAAGATCTTGAAAGAGGAACAGCAAAAACATGATCATGATTTATTCTTTCAGCAGCTAAGTCACACGGCTACAGGCCTGAGCCTGTACTGGGCCGGGCTTCATAGGGCCAAGTTTTCTATCCCAGACCTGGGGGGAGGCTTCTGTTTGCTAATTGATTGAAACACTGTTCTCTGTCAGCCTCATTCCCAAACCTTGATCTTTGGGGAATTGAGAGTCTGTGACTTTTTCCCGAGGAGCAGGAGGGTTCCCAGAGCCGGTCTGCTGCTCTGCCTGGAGGCAGTGTTCTGGAGGGGGTCCCCGGAGGGCAGCGAGGGCGCTGAGGCCCAGCGGGGGCTACCCCTGAGCATGATGCCTGTGCTTGCCTTGCAGGGCGGTCCCCCTCCTGGGCTACCTACCTCAGGACCTGATTGAGACCCCCATGCTCCTGCAACTTCACCCGAGTGACCGGCCTTTGATGCTCACCATCCATAAAAAGAGTAGGTCCCATTTGCTGGGAAAGCCTGGGATCAGTGCCCTGTGTAGGTGGGTCACATCAGTTTCCTGCATGTGGGGACAGATGCTGTGGCTCTGTGCCCACTACCTCTCTCTGTCAGTTGAGAGTAATCACCTCCCGTGCGTCCCTTTGTGGGACCTGAAAGCTTCCCTGGCAGGTGGGGGAGGGGGGGGCAGGTTCAGCTGTGGTGACAGAGGCACTGACCAGGCCAAGGGAGTGGGTGATCCATGTCCCCACCAAGCCCAGGTCTTGCAGACACAGGGAACACCGAGCATCCTGAAGAAGACCAGTCAAGGGTAGCAGAGGTGCATGTCCTGAGATCTGTGGTGGCACTTCTGGAAACTTCTAGAAACAGCCCACTGTTGCAATTTAAAGCCAAGTTGTGTGTGGAGGGGGGGTGTTTGAAAGCCATAGGGTCGAGGAGGTTGGCCCCTTATAAAGTTCTGAGCTGACTCCAGAGTGGAGTGCCCCTCAGCTCTCCTCTTCCCAAGAGCACGAGACACCTGTCCTCATGCCCACATGGCTCCCACTCTCACAGTTGTACAATCCGGTGGGCAGCCCTTCGACTATTCTCCCATTCGGTTCCGTGCCCGGAACGGCGAGTACGTCACTCTGGATACCAGCTGGTCCAGCTTCATCAACCCATGGAGCAGGAAGATCTCCTTCATCATCGGCAGACACAGAGTCAGGGTGTGAGTGCTCCCAGGGCCTGGGGCAGCCCGGGGACCCTCATTTCCCCCACCAGCAGGTGGCAGAGGGCAGGACTGGGTGGCCAGGACCCAAGCCACCTCCTGTCATGTGCCTGTGACTCCAGGTGGGCGGGATCTCCTACAGCAGAGCAGTGAGCAGGAGGGAGGGGTGGGTAGCAGCCCAGGGGTGTGCAGGGAGGAGGCCAGCAGGGCTGTGCAGCAGGGGGCCCAGCTGACAGACCAGTTAAAACTGCACAGGGGCCCTTTGAATGAGGACGTGTTCTCAGCTCAGTCTCCAGTGGAGGAGAAGGACCCGCCCCCCCGCATTCAGGGGCTCACAGAGCAGATCCACCGGCTGCTGCTCCAGGTGGGTATGCTGCCTACACGCCCTCCTGTCCCCTGTGCCAGTGGCCCGGAGCTGCCCAGAGACCTGGGCTGGCCATCTCACTCCATCCAGCTCCACTCTGCGCCATCTGTGGTCTGGGCCTGGACAGTCGGGCACACCTGTGGCTTGCAGAGTTGGGGGTGGCACCCCTTGCATATTTGGGGTGCCTGTGTCTGAACTGTAGTCCTGAGCAAGTGACTGAAAGACACACCCAGCCCCTGAGTCCACCCCTGAGGCCCTGCTGCCAACCCGCTCATGGCCCCCCACGGGCGCAATGGGTGGGAGGGGGTCACCGTACCAGGACCTGGGAAGCCTGACCCTGCCAGCCAGCCCAGCCCCACCTGTCCTCCCACAGCACCCCAGGCAGGTGACAGCCTCTCTGTGAGATAGGTGTGCGGGGGGGGCACTAACCCCACAGTGTCAGCCGCACACACCCCCTGAACCGCGTCCAATACCTTCCTGTCTGCTGTGTCCCCAGCCTGTCCCCCACAGCGGCTCCAGCGGCTACGGGAGCCTGGGCAGCAACGGGTCCCACGAACATCTCATGAGCCAGACCTCCTCCAGTGACAGCAATGGTCACGAGGACTCCCGCCGCAGGAGGACCGTAAGTCCCTTCTGCCCCTGTCTATCCTTGTCCTGGGGAGACCTGGCCGCCCACTCTCGGAACCCTGCTCCCTGTTCTACTCTCCAAGAGAGGGGTGGGGACAGCCAAAAGCTGTGACTACAGTTTGGGTGAAAATGACTTAAAGCAGGCAATCAGGCAAGAGTGAGGACTTCACAGAAATGCCACATTGCTCTGCATTCCTGAGATGGCCAAACACGTTTTCTCCGGCCCTGCCTTGCTCCAATTTCTGTGGCTCTCCTCTGTCCTCACCATGAGGAGATAGGGTGTCCTAGAGGGAATAACATGTCCCTTTGTTTCTCCTCCAGGAAATTTGTAAAAATAATGGCAACATCAAAAACAAAAGTCATCCTGGGGAATCTGGAGAACAAAAGGAAAAATCTGCAACAGGTAAGAACTTTCTCTCCATTTCCTTGACGAAATGTTAGTGTGGCTTTGAGTTTCACCCTGGATGGCAGGGAACTGACCTCCTCAGCGAGCTGTCTCCCCTCCCCTGCTGGGCAGCTGGCTCTGTGATGGCGCCGGGCAGCCTGGGCCCTTGCTCCATCAGGCTTGCTGACCCTCGTCGCCGGGCGCCCTTGACACCTGCTGAGGTGGGCCAAGGCCTGCCCGTGGCCCCTGCTGTCACTGGGCATAGTGGCCAGAGTGTGGGTGCTTACACTCACGTGAGCATGTGCACACACTCATCCAAGTTGGGGGGGCTGCCCAGCCAACCCACAAGCAATTGTCCGTCTAAATGAAGTGTCCCATGGGGCAGCACCTTCTTTGTTCATGGGCCCCCCGACCCCGGGGAGCCAGAGGCACAGGGGGCTGTCACCACCCCACACTCCCTGAGCCCACCTCACCATGTTGCAACTTGGCACCCTTGTACCTGGGCTCCCTGTGGCCTCTGTCCCTGCGGGGCTCCTGCTCATCCCCTGCACTCAGGGTTCACCTCCTCCAGGAAGCCTCTGGTGGCTGCCGCATATCTCTTCTTCACCAGGAATTTTGGCATCCGGGACAAGTGGGGGTGCACGCTGCCCTCAGTGGCCATGCTATAGTCTGTGTGGGTGTGCGGGGATGCCACGGGGAGCAGGACACGGCTCTGCCCCTGGGGACCCCTCAGGGAACAGCACAGGGGTGTGTGCGGAGAGGGCAGGAAGAGAAGCATCCACAGCAGTCTGCCCTGGGGACAGAAAATCATTAGCGACACCAGCTCACATTTCTGGGGGGGTCTCTCCTCTCCGAGACTGGGACTATCCATCAACCTTAAAGCATCTGCCATCTTACTGGCCCTGCACATTTCAGGAGTTCCAGGAAGACCTGGCCTTTCCCACTGCTAAGTCCTTGAGCCTGGGGATAGCCCTAGGGGGAGCCCCCCCCCCCCGTGACAGCGCCCTCCAGCTTCCCTCTGGGGGTGTCACAGGGACGCTCGCCCCCACCAGACTGCCTGAAGAGCAGGCTGGCCCTGGGTTTCTGTGTTTGAGAATCACAGCCTGACTTATAGGTTGCATGGAAATGCTTTCTGACTAGAGAATCCGCTTTGGGGGACACAAGTTTTACCTGAGAGAACCGTTTTGTCCTTTCAGAGACTCCGAGTAGTTCCTCTGCTCAGATGAAAGCTGTCCCCGTGGAACAGGACAGCTCTGGTACTAGCCTGCCCGCGGGCGGCTCTCCTGAGGAGCTGGGCTGCAGGAACCCGCCCGCTGGCTCCTACCAGCAGATCAGCTGCCTGGACGGTGTCATCAGGTGCGGTCACCTCCCCCCTCCCCCACCTTCCCGGCTCCTCCACGTGCCCCTGGGGCTCCCGTGTCCCACGAGGCCCTTTCCAACTCTCCGTGCAGATACCTGGAGAGCTGCAGTGAGGCGGCCACCCTCAAGAGGAAGTGTGAGTTCCCAGTGAACGTGGCAACGCAGGCCAGCGATAAGCGACAGGCAGTGGCCAGCCCCCGGCTGCCTTCCGCAGGTGTCTTGTTGCTTTGAGCTGTGCCGCATGCGCTGACTGAGGTCCTCCGTGGGGGTGGGGGTGGGGTCAGGTGTCACTGAAGGCCCAGAGCCCCGCCCCCTCCCGCAGGAAGTCTGAGCAGCTTCAAGGACCCAGTATGTGGGTGTAGGCTGGTTTTTCCATGACCAGAGTAGCTCAAAACTTAGGATCTTCTTACAAGCTGGAGGTAAAGGTGATTTGGGACTTTGAGACTTGGATCTTGCTGGGGCTGCTGAAGACCTGGGGGCACCTCACCCTGCCGTTCTTGGGTGGGTCTTGTTTCTGTGGTCTCTCGGAAGAGCACAGGCCTCCGAATGTTAGCACACCTGAGTCGGATTTCACCCCACAGGCCTCTCGAGCGTTCTGAGTGTTACTGCTGGACCTTACCAGGACCAAACACCGGGTAGCCCCCTGTTGATGGAGCACTCATGTTGGGCAGTCCCACTGTGATGGACAGTCCCTGCCCTAGTCCTCGGGGACACAGAGCCAGCCCCTGGCCAGCACCCTGCGGATGGTGGGCTCCTGGCCATCTGTGGGCCTGTTGGAAGGGCCCCAGGCCCTGGTCAGAGGCCCAGACCCAGAGTACCTGCAGCTTCCCAACCGTCTACCTCCTATTAGAGCACTCAGGCTGTGTCCAGTTCAGACTTCCCTCTTCTCCTGCTTTCCCCTGTGAATAAAGAGCTGGGGACGGGCAGTCATGTGCCCGGGTGTATGCAGGCTCTGCGGGTCCCCGGGGTATTGGCGCACCGCATAGACAGTGGGGTGTCTTGTCCGAGCGGTTTGCTTTTGTTGCATTTCTGTGTTTGTGTCCATTTCCTCTTACAAAGAGACAGCGTCATCCTCCAAGGTGAACAGCCACGCAGGGGTCAGCGCACACCTGCCATCGCTGACGCTGCCCAGCAAGGCGGAGAGCGTTGTGTCCCTCACCAGCCAGTGCAGCTACAGCAGCACCATCGTGCACGTGGGCGACAAGAAGCTGCAGCCTGAGCTCGGTATGCTTGTTGGTTCACCAATGATGTCGGGAGCGGTCTGATTTTAACGATGAAAAAGCAGGGTGGGGTATAGCTACCCCTGTCCTGGTTCCAGCCACCCCTGTCCCAGTCCCAGTCCCTCCTGGTCCCAGGGCCCCTGTCCTAGCCCCCACTGCACTCCAGGTCCACCTGGCGGCAGTTGTCCACTCTGGCGCCTACCAGGCAGAGGCCGTGGTGGTGCTGAGCCCCGGCCTCCTGGGGAATGAGTGAGGGTCCTGGGCCTCCCCCTTCTGTGGGGCTGAGGGTCCCCGCCCCCTCCCCTGTTGGAGGATAGGAGCCAGGACAGGTCCTACGTGCCCACGGGTACCATCCCTGAGTTACCCTGTTCTTCACAACACCCACGAAGGAATGGAAACCCAGATTTGTTCTGTGCTGGGAAGACAGGGACATTGAAGGGAGAGTGCATGGGAGGGAGCCAGCGGGTCCTGAAGAAGGACGGGGGCCCCGCGCCGGCTCAGGGTCTTGTGCTCTCAGAGCCAAGGACAGACCAGGAGCAGCATCTTCAACGTGGGGCTGAAACCCCAGGTACCCCACATTTCAGTTTGCTTCGAAGACCAATCCTGGAGCTGCCCAGGCAGTGGGGCTTTCTGTCCTTGTCTTGTGCCTTTGATGGTGAACTTTTCTCAGAGAGCTGCCTGAACATATCACAGGTTTCAGCCCCAAGCTCTGGAGGCACGAGGCATCGCACATGTGTGCGAGGGGCTGCCTTCTTCAGAGACGCCAGATGCGTTTTTCCGTTGTTTTAAGCCCCAGTGCCCGTCTTCTGTTCCAGAGCTGGTGGAAGATGCCATGAGCGGGCCTGAGTCTCTGGACGGACGGCCGTGCATCCTGGGTGCGGAGAAGGAGCCCCTCAGGACGCTGGGCCTCACCAAGGAAGTGCTGGCCGCACACACCCAGAAGGAGGAACAGAGCTTCCTGCTCAAGTTCAAGGAGATGCGGAAACTCACTATCTTCCAGTCTCGCTGCCATTATTACTTACAGGAAAAGTCCAAGGGGCAGCTAAGTGAGAGAAGTAAGTGGCAAAACCACATTTTAAAGATGTTCTTCTTGGTAGAACGGAGTCCATGGCTCCTGTCGACATGTGGAATGGCCCCAGTTAGATATAGGCTGGAACATCACAGTGATGCAGTCTGTTTCAGTAGAAACAGGTGTCCTGTGTCCCCAAGGCAACAGTGCTAGCAAGAGCAGCGACAGTCCCAGGCTGGCTCCCATGGAACACAGAGCTGCCACCTCAGATGTCTCTCACTGGGTGACTGTGAGGGGCAGGGGACCCTACCCGCCCCATAGGACTGACGGGGCACATTGCGTCAGACTCCTGAGGACACCGTAGGAGGGAGTGACAGCCTTCTCCCCAGATGCCTTCCTAGCTGGGGGGCCTTAAGGCTGGAGGATAGACCCTGGGAGTGCAGAAAGCTGCCTTCCAGGCTGCCCCCCAGCAGGGGTCGAAGGGCATGGGGTGAAGATAGACAGGGCTGGACTGATCAGAGACCCCACCTCTTCCCATGGCTCCCCAGGCCAGACACGGGGATCAGAGCTAGTGAGCCCAGGAGACACGTGCATCATGAGAACCCAGCTTCCCCTGGATCTCTAGGCAGACACGCCACAAAGTGAAAATATGAGAAGTGAAAGAGACTGATGCTGCCAAGGATTATGTCTTTTCTAGTCTTTTCCTTTTCTCCTTCTTCCCCAGACTTAGGGTGACTGTTGGGCCTAATTTCTTTGGAAATTAGGAGGAAGTGTCATCCCCCCCCACCTTGGGCAGACATACTCTGTGGGCCTGATTTAGTATGGAGTTCTAGCTCCCTCTTGCCCCCCTTGGCCCAGCAGTTTTTGCAGTGCACAGACTGTGCAGCCATCCACCGCAACCCTGTCTAGACCCTGATGTGCAATCCCAGGAGCCCAGTGCTTCAGCCAGTAGTCCCACCAGGGGACAGATTTCCTATAGAAAAAACACCAGACAGAGTCTGAGTCACAAAGCCTCTACCCACTTAGCACTTTGCCTTGGATTGGTCCATTTGTCTTCAGCATGGAGTAAAGATTAAGGGAGCACCTGTTGGCATTGCTGACAGAAGGTGTCCCCACACACCTGCTGCAGAAGCCCAGAGTTATCCTGTGTGACAGGAGAGGAGAAACAGGTTCCTGGGACCATCCCAGGCATGGCATGATCCCCCAGCTCAACCAACATACTTCCCCTGCTAGCCCAGGCCCGGGGGTAGAGTGTGGAGACAAGCCCAGAGTCCCTTCTGCTACCCTTGGAGACGTCCAGCCTTCTGAAGAAAAAAGCATTGCTCATCAGAGAGAAGGAAGGTAGTTCCAAGAGCACGTGCTCCCTTCCATCCTCTGACCTCCCCTTGGGCTGGGGTCCACGCTCCCTCTGACAGGCAAAGCAGGAAGCAGCTCATTTTAAGGAACAGTAGTGATGAAGCTCATAAAATTGAAAAATAGGTTAGATGATCAGGGGTGTTACCCTTCACATTTCACAAACCAGTACTGGGGAACAGCTGACACTTACCAGCCTTTTTACTTTTTTGAGCAAATGAAATCTTCTAAATACAACTTTTCATCACTATTATTTTGTCAGGGAAAGGGTATTTTAACACCCGATGAAAAACAGGCATGTGATCTTGCAATTAATGGCCGTCCTTAAAATCGGGTGACTCTGGTTTTATGAACATTTTGCCCTGGTTATTCTCACTTCACCGAGGGCCGGGCAGCACCTGATGGAGGCCTGAGTGGCCACAGGCTGACATTTGGAAACACGGGACTGCTGAACTAGGATGTGTCTTCATGTTTCCAGGAGCCTAGGAGTCTGAAAACTGGCAAACACAAATGTTTGCATCTTAACTCTGGTGTTTTCCCATTATTTTAGCTGCACCAGGACTAAGAAATGCTTCTGGAATAGAATCATCTTGGAAAAAAACTGGGAAGAATAGAAAACTGAAGTCCAAACGGGCCAAGCCTCGAGACTCTTCTGAGAGCACTGGGTCTGGGGGCCCTGCACCCCACCGGCCCCCACTGATGGGCCTGAATGCCACAGCCTGGTCACCGTGGGACACGTCCCAGTCCAGCTGCCCCACGACGCCCTTCCCTGCCTCGGTGCCTGCTTACCCCCTGCCTGTGTTTCCAGCCCCAGGAATCATGCCCACACCAGGGATGGTGGCGTCGGCACCCCTGGCTCCCCAGGCCAGCTTCGCGGTGCCTGCCGTGCCCATGGACACCCAGCATGAGTTTGCCATCCAGCACCCGCCGTTCGCTGTCCCCTTGACCCCAGTCATGGCATTGGTGTTACCCAACTATTCCTTCCCTTCAGTGACCCCCAGCCTGCCCCAGGCCTTCTTCCCAGGCCAGCCTAACTTTCTGTCGGAGATGATCCCTGCCTCGCAGCCTGAGCTCCCCGGCCGGACCTCACCCCACAAAGCGCCATGCACATGTCCTCTGTCAGAGCGTGGGCTGGCAGCTTCTCATGCAGCCACCCCCATGTACCCACCGTCTGCCTCTGGGCCCCCGGGCAGAGCCTCCCCTCCGCTCTTCCAGTCCCGAGGGAGCTCGCCTCTGCAGCTCAACTTGCTGCAGCTGGAGGAGGTCCCTGAGGGCAGCACCGCAGCCTCAGGAACGGCAGGACCCGCAGGGACAGCGGGGACAGCGGGTGCGGGGCCCGACTGCAGACCTTCCACATCCTGGGACCGGCAGCCGAAGGCCTTGCCAATCGTAAGCATTTCCTGCCTTCCTTCCCTAAAGCAGGCAGCGGGGGTGCAGGGACAGGGTGAGCACGTGCGCTCCTGTCTCCCCTCCTGCCACACAGTTCCAGTTGTGACCTAAATACATGGGCTGGACGGGAATGTTTTCCAGCTCAGCGACCCTGTCAGAGTAGATCCCTGGCATCTTCTTATTGTCTGGGGGTCCAGATGAAGGAAGCCACTGGATTGTCTGATGGACACGGGTCCAGATACGCACACTTGACTTCATGACTCGCTCTGGGCCCCAATATTTTCAGTAAAACTGTGGATAAAGCACAGTCAGGTTGAATGCCAGAGCTCAGACCCCTTGGAGGGCAGTGGGGTCCAAGGGGGAGCCGGCCGCAGAGGCACCCTGGGGGGCAGGGAGGCAGAGGCCTGAGCTCTGAAACCAGGCCACGTGCGCCCCTCCTCCCAAGTCCCACGGGATGCTGGTGTGCTGTTCTTGTTCAGTTAATGAAGTCGTGAGCTGCTTCCGGTGAACCACTGGTATGTGGGGACCGCACTGAGGGGTGTAGTGACCACGCTGAGTGACCGGGCTGTCACTGTGCTGAGGGGTGTAGTGACTGTACCGAGTGACCACGCTAAGGGGTATGGTGACCGCATTGAGTGACCGCTCTGAGGGGTGTAGTGGCCATGCTGAGCTGTGTAGTGACTGCTCTGAGTGACCATGCTGAGGGCTGCGGTAACCGCACTGAGGGATGTAGTCACACTAGTGCGGCAGTGTGGCCACTGGCGCCCCTGCCCTTGCTCCTGGGAGGGGAAGCACAATCTCGAAGTCGCAAGTAAACACCTCCATGTGCCAGGGGCCCCTGATTCCTGTGTCTGGGGTCCTGGGCCTATTGTGCTGGTTCTGAGGATCAGAGGGTCAGGATGCTGCCAGGTCAAGGCCATGCCCACTGGGAAGCCAGATTCCCCTCCCCCATTCCACAGAGCAGCAGTCACTGGGGTGCTGCTGACGTGCTTCCCCTCTGCCCTGTCTGCCAGGGTGTGGGAACGAGCAGAAGGCCTTTCTCTCAGGGACCAAGACCCGCTGTCTTTGGTGTGACCTTCCCAAAATTAAGGTTATTATTAGATGACACTCATAGACCACTAGCAAGGGTGTTGCTGTAGACTTAATAACCAGGGGGCATGTTCGTTTCGTCTTCTTTGTTGGTGATGAAGGGAGGACCAGCGACCTAAGGAGGATGGCACTTTGCTCTGTCTCTGAGCAGCCCTGTGCAGACAGCGCTGTGCAGCTCCCCCGAGCCCTGTTCTGTGTGCTGAGCCCTGACTGTGCACAGACCCTCTCTCTGTATGCAGAGCCCTGACTATGTGCAGATCCTCTCTCTATATGCAGAGGCCTGACTGTGCACAGGCCCTCTCTCTGTGCACAAAGCCCCTGACTCTGCGTAGAGCCCTGACTATGCACCAAGCCCCACTCTATACATAGAGCTCTGACAGTGAGCAGAGGTTCTCTCTGTACACCAAGCCTTTGACTGTGTGCAGAGCCCTGACTGTGCACCAACTCCCTCTCTATGCACAGAGCCCTGACTGTGCACTGAGCCTTCTCTGTGCACTGCACCCTGACTGTGTGCTGAGCTTCTTTCTGTATGCAGAGCCCTGACTATGCACAGAGCCCAATTCTGTGTCCTGTACCCTGACTGTGCAAAGAGCCTCTCTCTGTATGCAGAGCCCTGGCTGTGTGCAGAGCCCTGTTCTGTGCAGTCACGCCCTAACTGTGCACAGAGCCTCTCTCTTTATGCAGAGCCCTGACTGTATGCTGAGCCCCTCTCTGTATACAGAGCCCTGACAATGTGCAGAGCCCCATTCTGTGTGCCGAGCCCCATTCTGTGCACTGAGCCCTGACTGTGCTGTCTTCTCCCTGTTTCCAAAGCGTGAGGAACCTGCAGATGCCCGGAATAGTGATGCCCTCTCCACATCCAGTGGCCTGCTCGACCTCTTGCTGCACAAGGACCTGTGCTCGGCCACAGGGTCAGCCCTATCTGGGAGTGGAGCCTCTGCTACATCCGACTCCCTGGGCTCAGGCTCACTGGGCTGCGCTACATCCAGAAGTGGAGCAGGTATGTTGTTGGCACTGGGAGCACCCAAATCCTGTGGGCGTTGAGTGTGTTTCAATTGCTGAATTTCAGGTTTGTTTAGATGATGGCCACCTAATGTTCCTGGGCGTCCGCAGCTTTTCCCGCACCCCAGGCCACAGGCCTGCGTGTGCTCAGGGCCTGGTATCCGGTGCAGACCAGGTCCCCACAGGCATCTAGCTGGTGCTCCCAAGTGCCTCCCCAGGGCCTGCAGCCATGGCTGCCAGCAGGTTCAGGCTCTGTCCTCCTGGCTCACCCTGCCGATGTGCATCCCCTCTGCCCGTTTGCTATGGACATTGCTGTTATCACAGGCCTCTATGCCACCAGCCCTTTTGGACCATCTTGGACCATCCCTCAGAGTCTCTGGGCCTGCCAGGAGGGCCGGTAGTGCCCCCCTTGCTGAGTTAGCTCCCCTCGTGTGAGCTAGGGCGTGGGGGTCTGCTTTACCAGGGAGGATCACTCAGGTGTGATCTGGAACAGCCACATCCGCTCCCCACTGACTGAGCACCCGTCTTCACCTGTTCTCTGGTCTCGCTCCCCACAGAGGCTAATGGCAGAGTGTGCCAGGCCAGCTGCCCCCTGCTGACAAAACCAGCTTTTTTGTGGCCTGACCTAGTCAAGGAGCAGGAGCATGATTTCTTTTGGCAGGGGGCGGTGGGGAGGCATACAGGGGAAGAGGGAGAAAAAGAATCTGAAGCAGGCTCCATGCCCAGCATGCAGAACCTGATGTGGGGCTCCATCCCACGACCCCGAGGTCATGACCTGAGCTGAAATTAGGAGTTGGACGCTTAACTGACAGAGCACCCAGGCACCCCAAAGGAGCACGATTTCTAAGACGCAGCCCCATCTGGACTTCTCAGGGCTGACCCGGGAGAGAATCGTCCCCATGGTGCTGGCTGGTATTATCCAGATAATTTGAGAACTGGAAAGAGGAGGCAAAACCTACCTGTCTAGGCACTTGTTACCACGTCAAACCCTTTGGCTCCCTGAAACTGCCGTTTTATGAGGTTTAACTTCACATGAAAGGTTTTCACTTGCCACGTATTGTGTTTTTAAAGGCAGCAGTGACACAGGTCACACCAGCAAGTATTTCGGAAGCGTTGACTCTTCGGAGAAGAACCACACAGCGAAAGCGAAGGCAGATATGGAAGAAAGTGAACAGTTCATCAAGTATGTCCTGCAGGACCCCGTCTGGCTGCTGATGGCCGACACGGATGACAGCGTCATGATGACCTACCAGATGCCTTCCCGGTAACCCCCGACTTCTCCTAGGGACATGGGCTCACCAAACAACAAGGCCACCCAGTCGGGGGGACTTCCCACTGAGAGCCTCGCCTCTGATTGTATGGACGGAGAAGGAGGGTCACTCTGGATGGCTCTGTGGTCCCGTGGAGAACTGCGGGTGACCTGCCGTAGGCTGGGAGGAGGACGGGCTCCCTTCCAATCCCCGTCGTGTTGCTGGGCTCATGAAGCGTTTGTACCAACGTCTCCCTTTGGCTCAGTTGCCCGTTCCCCTGTGGGCGAAATGGGCTGTGTCCATCCTGGAGATACAGGAGCTCAGGGAGGTGAGCAGCCTGGACTACCAGCTGCTCTGTGGTGAGCAGGTCTGTGCTTCTGCCACTGTGACCCCATGTCCCTCTGGTCTAGGACCGCTATGGTCCCTGTGCCTCAGAGCCCCATGGTGGGAGGAGCTAGGGAAGGAAGGAGGGATTACCGCAGAGGCTCAGGACTGCCAGGCCTCTGGGGGGAGGTGGGAGGGGCTCCTGGGTTTCCTTCCAGCCAGCCCAATGTCTGCTGGGGAGCCAGGACGGTTACCCCACCTGCTGCCTTGATGGTCAGAGTCTCTAGCAAACCAGCCTGTGCAGAACCAAGCGTCTGTGGGTGTCCCGTCCCCCTAATTTCAAATAAAACCTAGATCGTAACTTGGGTTATTTTAATAGAAAAACTACAGATGATAGACTAGGGAGATTAAGGTGCCTTAAGTAGGGTAATTTATTTTAAAGAAAAAGGAAATTAGCATTAAACAAAATCATCTAAAATTAATTAATTAATCCTGAAAGAGTTGCTAGAAAAAGAGGGTTTTTGTTTTGTTTAAACCACAGAATCCCCTTCAGGCACTGTACAGCTTACCTGTTTCTAACTGTTTTGTGAAGGAATCTGGAAACAGTGTTGAAGGAAGACCGGGAGAAGCTGAGAGCCATGCAGAAGTCCCAGCCCCACTTCACTGAGGGCCAGAGGCAGGAGCTGCTGGACGTGCATCCATGGCTGAGGGGCGGTCGCCTGCCTGCCGCCCTGGACCTCACGGTGAGCTCAGCACGCCTGTGCGCACTCCCCACAGCCCTTAGCACTCTCAGTACCCCCTCACACTTCCAAAGCTAGAAAGAGTCTGTTCACGAAGACAAATGATCCCAGGATGCTACTGAGTCTACTTTAAGGAACTTTGCCACCTTGTTCCCAAAAAGATCTTCTGAATATTCCTTTTAGTGGCATACTGAAATTTGAATGTTTTTTCTTTCTTTCACTTGTTTTCAATTTAAAAAACAAACTAGGAAGCAGCTCTCCTACCATGAGCCCTCAGTGTCTGCATAGACCATTAGATAACAGTGGGAACACCACTCCTTCCAGGCCTCAGGAACCTGCAGCCGCACCCTCCTCCTCCACAGGACTTGCGGAGTCATGTCTGTGCCCATCCCCATGCCCTGCCCACCCTGAGCCCCACACCCTGGAAGCTATTCACTTCAGGGTCTCCGTGTCCTTCAGCCTCCTAACGCGCTGCCCTCTCAGTCCTCCAGCTTCAGGACAGGACCCTGATACCCCCAACCCCTCCAGCACTGCCTGCTGCTTCAAGCCGCAGTGCTCTTTCAGCTGGATCTTCACGGTGGCCTCCTCACTGTGCATCCTTCCCCCTTGTCCCTACGGTTGTGTCCCTGGCAGCCATGCCCCAGCCAGTTGGAGTAAAGTGCTGCAAAGCCATAAAAATCTGATACGTCGCCCCCATCTGCCATCTGCCATTTCTCTTCCCTCACTCTCTGCAACCACGTGGGCCTCTCACCTGTCCCTCCTGCCGCCCGGCCTTTGCACCTGCCCTTCCCTCTGCTGGGAGGCCCTTCTGTCAGTCACATGGCTCTTCCTGGCTTCCTTCAGGGGTTTTCGTCACACACCGCAGAATTGGCTGTCTGTCGCCTCCTAGCAAAAACCCCAAGCCTTAGTGGCCTAAAGCCGTGAACACTTACACTGTCCCAGTATCTCTTTGGGCTGGGAATTAAGGAACAGCTTGCCTGGGTAGTTCGGTCTCAGAGTTTCTCGTGAAGGTGAGGGCAAGATGTCAGCGGGGGCATCTGTCGTCACCTAAAGGCTAGAAGCCACACTTCCCAGGGAGCGAGACTCTACCCTGTGAGGGGAGGGTGTCACAGACACGCCCCCCCCCCCCCAATCAGGGGCCTTCTCTTGTTCTGAAGGCCCAGAATAAGATTGTAGGTCTCGTCCATGTGCCATGTTCCTTTAGGCTTTCATCTTGAATATGCTGGGGACACCTGTCACTTGGGCTATTGTCCCTCTCTCCTCCCAGGATCTCCCCTCCCCTCTTCTCCTGGGCAGAGATTTCCATCTTTGTTTGCTGGAGAATCCCAGTCCTTGGGATCTGCCTGGAGCATTACAGGTGATCAACAGATAGGGAATGAGACAGTACTCTGTCATGTCCACCTTCCTGCACAAGAAAACTGAGGTTGGAGAAGGCAGTTAAACTGGACCTTGACTGTGGTCCCACAGGCAGGAAGGGGAGGAGCTGGGACAGAACCTTGAGCCTACTGGTTCCACTATCCTGTCACCATGGAAAGCTGCCTCTCAGATAAGGGCCTGGACGCTCCCCTGGCCTCGGGGAAGTGGGGAGTGGGGCCCCTGGGGAGCAGCTCTGACCTCCCTCAAGAGCAGGCAGGGTCCCAGCAGCCCCTCAGTGGCTTCCCACCTCCCCGCTCACCACGGCTGACCCCAGGTCACCTGCACCTCCCTCAGGTCAAACCACTGTTTGGTAATGAAAAGGTCATTTTTGTTACTGACTTTACATCTTTCCCTTTAAGGAATGTGTTTACTGTGGGAACAAGGGACAAGACAACATCTGCCCAACGTACGAGGAAGATACTCCTCCTCTGGGTCTCAGTGAAGCCACAGACGCCAAAGAGGAGGAAAATGGAGTCCCCTTGAGTCACAGAAGTGAAGAGCGGACCTAGCTCTCCTCCCCGTGCCCCGACAGCTCGTGATCTACGTTAGATGGTGCTCAGAAGCGATGAAAGATTTTCATATCTGTTTGTAATGAAATGGACAGATAAACTTATCGCTTTTTTTGTTTTAGAAAAAAACATAGTTTTCTGAAGGAATGATTTAAAACTGTGGAGAGTGGGAAGGGTCGGGGAGGAAATACACTTTGGTATTTAAAACATAAATACAGAGTTTGGGACAGATTTCATTATTCCTTAACTTGAGAAAGCTGGAATGCCCTCAGCACGCAGCAGGGAGGTTGCCCTAGGGCTCTTAGAGGTCTGTGCCCCAAGGAGGCTTCTCGCTGACCTGGGGATGTCCAGAGGCATCTTCCAGCCTGTGGCAAACAGCTGGGATGCTCCTTGTCCTTCCGGAGCTGCCCCTGGGTGTGTTTGGATCAGATCAGATTCTGTCCTCTGGGGTCTGCTCTGTATCTAGATCACCTAGACATCATCTAGACAAACTAGATGTTTTTGGAATGTACCAAATGGAGATCACAGCCTCTCCTAACTTTCTGTCAAAGTGTTTCGCGTGCGTCGCTGTGAAGCGTACTTCGGCAAACCAGCAGCTTCCGCTTTGGCTACTATGCTGGCAAACCTTTCAATCTGATGTAGTTTGTGTTTGGCCCAAGCTGAGGAGAGATGCTCACTCTGGAAAGAAGAAGCCCCGTGGTTTGTCTGACCAATTCCTTCAGACTGGCACACACCTAGAACCTTCTGTGTATTTCTACATCATCCTCGGGTCCCTTTCCGATCATGACCCATATGTAGATAAAATATGGTGTTGACTGTCTCTATGGCAACTTCCCTTTGCAGACTGGTCTCTGGTAGCCACATTTGGAACCCGTTGGTGTCTGTCCTTCAGCTGGAGCCTCCCAGACACGAGCTCTGACACTGTGAGCTGGTGACCCCATCTGTGCTTTCCTGAGTGCCGTGAGCTCGCCTCTCCCCACACCCTGGGCTGATATGCCAGCCCTTGTTCTTTCCATGAGCCTGACCTCACTCGGGGAAGCTTCCGGTCCCAGCAGTGACAGTCCTCGCGTCACCAGCACTGTCTGGTCACTGAGATACCTGTGGAGGAGTGAGGCCAGTCTGCCCATTTCCTTACAAAACCTCATGTTGCATTATGGATCCCAAGGATTGTTTGGGGGAAAGCTACATTGGTCCCTGGAGTGAAGGTTACCGCAGGAGAAAGAGCTGACTTAAAATCGGGTTGAGTTTGTAAAATCAGAAAAGAAAGCAGGCTTCCTCCCATCCTCTGATGGAGAAGTGGCTGCAAGAGTCAGTGCAGCCTCCTTGTAATCGGCTTGGTTTTCAGTCTTACATTTGGATATTAATCCGATTTTTCTTAAACTCAAATGTAAGAATACTGGTGGGTTTTGAAAATTATTTATAAAGTAACAGCACCTTCAGATGCCCAAAATGAGATGGTAGCCTGTGTATTTGTTGGAGAATAGACGCCTCCAAACCTACCCCCTGCCGCTGAGGTCCAGTCATTAAGGGATTAGATGCTAGTCAAGGTTATATGTATGTTACCTGAACACACAACTGTCAAAACATTGTCCACAGTTATGAATGTTTGCCATTGGCGTTATTTTATTATATGATCTATGCTCATTGATTGTTAAGTGCATAGCTTAACGCGTGCTGGGCAGTTGACAATAGGAGCATTTTGTGAAATTGTTTACATGGTGCCACGTATCAAGACGTGTTTCCCTTAGTATGTGTGCTTACACAGGGGTTATAAAACCTTTTTCTCGATTTTAAACTGAGCCTTCTTTTTAATCTATTCCTGAAAAGACGTGTAAATAAGCTCTCAGAGTCTGTGTAATGACTTGGTCAGCCTTGCCTTCACGTGGTTTGTTCACACACAGACCAAAATTTCTTCACCCAGTGCAATATGTTTGTTTACTGCTTGTGTCTTTTTATGACTGTTTTCGCTTTTTAGAAAATTGCTAAATAAAGCAAGTATATTTTTGTTGTTAATTATATGTACTTTTAATGTAGCACGGGGCCAAAACCATAGAGATCGAAGATTACCAAAAGATGAAACAAGAAAGAAAGGAAGAAAAAGAACTTCAGAAATGCTGTGTGAGGAGTCACGTCAGGCTCAAAGACCTGCCACATCTCTTCCATGGCACAGCTGGTCCCTTCCTGCGCATGCGCCTGGGCATCTCTCTTCCCCGTACCCGCACCGCTCGCTGCCCCAGCTGCCCAGTGAATTCTTAGGATGGAACATTACAGAATGTAAATCTAATCCTGTGACCCAGTGCTGCCACGGGCTTTTCACTTGCAGACGCAGAGGTGGGGCTTCCTGACTGAGCCCCCAGTTCCAGTCCACTCTGAGATGGCCCCAGGCACCCACTCTCTTCCCTTTGTGCCCTGTGTTCCTCCTGGGCTAGCTGGCAGTGTGCTAGCCACGGGGCTGAAGGCAGAGGTCAGAAGGATGCCAGCCAGAAAGGCCTTGTGCTCCATCAGAGACCATAGAGGCAGCACTGCAAAATCCCCTCCTCCCATGCATCCAGTTCTTGCCATAGTGACGGAGCCTTGCCGGGCCCGGTCAAAACAGGGGAGTGCTGCTTCCAACTTCCTCCCACTTTTCATACCCATACCATGGGAAACAGAGCAAGGAGAGGAATGGATCCTGGACCCAGTGCCCAGCCTCCCAGAAGCTCCCTGAGTAGGAGGGAAGGCTTGACTCCCTGCCTCATAGCCTAGTGGTGATGGGGGGATGGGGTGGGGATAGGGGAACAAAGGCAAAGTCCTCCAAGTGGGTATGGAAGCCTCAGCAAACTGGTCTTAAATGGCCAAATATGGCCATTTCACCGAACTGAGTACCACTGGGGACTCTTAATTACATTTTTATTTACCATATAACCCCAAAGTCACCCCCTGGTTTATTTCCAGACCAAAAGGAGCTTCTCCAAGCTTTCTGGGCTGATTGCCTACAAGGGGCCTGGACGTCCATAGGCTGGCTGCTGCCTTTGTTCCCTGGGGATTTATGGCCTGCCACCCCTGCCGCTAACTGGTCCCCCTGTGGCCACCACAGCCCTGCCCAGACTCTGCTGGCCTCTGTTCCTGGATCTGGGGGGATCAAAGGGCCCAAATGCTCAGGAAGTCTGTGCTCAAGCAACCTTTGAAGGTAGGATCAGTCCAAGGGACAAATGGCAGGAAATGGGTCCACTAGGGGAAGCCATGCAAAGCAGGGAGAGAGGGCTTGGTGGCCCTGAGATGGAACAACCAGACTTCTGGGAGGGCCAAGCCAGCCAGCCAATGGACCCACTAAGGGAAATTGGGGTGAACTTCAAAGACGGGTCATTGGGGAACTTCTGGTCCAGCCAAACATCTTATTGACTCCTAATACCTTGCTCTATCCTTATGCTTTTTTTTTTCCTCAGGGTTCTTGGTCACAATGAGGCATATCCCAGCACTTAATTTCTCCTTCCTTCAACTCTATAGAAAGCATTCCTCAAACCCTACCTTCCCACGTAAGACTCTTGAGGTCCCTATCTTTCGCTTCAGACTCCTCCCTTCTCCTGACAACTGTCGTCTATTCTTTTGTTTTTACATAGTCAACTTTATATCATGTTCTGTAACCATAATTATAAGTCTTCCTTACCTTCTCTATAGATTGATTATAAATGTTGAAACCTCATGAACAGTGTTATATTGTTGTGAAAGTGAAAGAACTGTTAACTCCTAGGTCAGCCAGTGTGCTGAGATTACATTTCTCTTTGGGGGAGCTTTTTGTTTTTCCTGGAGTTCCTAGTTGCCTCTCATTTTTTGCTTGTACTATTCACATTTATCAGGCCTTCCTCCCCATACCCATGCCCCATCCAATCAAGTGCTCTATTGGTCTTTTCCCAGAGGCCTCCCCCAGGGTGTTGACCATCCTGTTCCAACAGGGACTGCCTTTCATGGAGAGCATTCTAAAATACCTCTTTGGCTTTGTTCAAATAATATAATGGGTATTGGGAGACATATGCATCAGACTACAAGAAGTATCACTGAGGTTTTGTTTTGTTTTGTTTTGTTTTTCACATTTCAGATTCTCAAAGTAGTGGAAACTTAATTGTACTTACTTAAGGGTCTCCTTCCCTGGAGTGATGTCGAAGTGGTAAAGAATAGTAAAGTCACAGGCCAGTTACGGGCTCTCGTGAGGTCCACAGTGAGCTCCCTCCCCTGTCAGACCCACCACTAGGAGTAAGGGGAGGAGAGCAGGTGGGTCTCTGAGCAGCCAGGTGAGGGGGAAGGAAGAGACCTGAGCTTTCTGGCATGCAGGGGAGATTGAGAACAGCAGGGAATGACTGAAGTAAAGGAATAGGTTTCTCTACCTGGATGAGCAGTGCTAGGCTGGGGAGGTCTTAGAAGCCTGCTCACAGAGAAGCAAATAAGAGGCTGAGTGGTAAGAGGTGATGGGAGGTGAAAATCAGCAGAAGAAACTCTCAGCTAGTTATAGATAGAGGTCTATCTATCTTTAGATAGACTTTGGGAAATGTCAAACCTCTTACCAAACCCACCCTGTCTGTAAAGGTCCTTCTGGTGGGGAGCCCAAAGTGAAATAGTCACAGGGAGTAAGATCCATCTTCAGGTGACTAGGGTGGGGCCTATCTGTGGCCATACCTACTACTCACTGCACTGTAGTCCCTGGATATTTCCTTGCCCTACTGCTCTCCAGCCAGGCTCAGGACAACCCCTCCCCTTCCCTACCCACCCAGGCTTCTGCTGAGGCCAGGCTCTGTGCTGGTTGTAGATAGGAGGCCCCAGGTACCCTTGACAAGGGATGCTTACAGTCTCAAGGGCTGCAGACCAGACCCTGACAATCCAGTCTCTGGTAAGTAGTACGTGACTGGGTAAGGGTGCAGTGTGACTGTGGGGAAGGTGCCCTCCCCCCCCCCCCCCCGGAAAAGGGAAAACGAAGCTGAGGCCTAAACGGTGAGGAAATAGATATTTGGAGGAGTGTTGAAGAATGTTCCAGGTGGAAGGCTCAGTCTGTGCAAAGGGCTGGTGGCCAGAACCCATCTTGCTATTCCAGCTTTGCTGCACTGGGAAGTGTACATAGGTCAGTGGAGCAGGGAACAGGTGGCGGTCCCCAGGGTGCTGCCCAAGGGCGCGGCCCCACGGCCCACCCACCCCACCCGCAGGGAGGCCAGTCTGGCAGATGGGCGGCCCTCGGTGGGGGTGGCGGTCGTCTGGCGGACACAAGCTCACCCGCCACCCGCCGCGGGACAAAGCGGGCCTAGACAAAGGCGCGGCCAACACCTGTCGCTCTTGGCGCGGCCCCGCTTTTCTCCACCGAAGAGGCTGCAGCTGCCAACTGTCATGGGCATCAAGTTACGGGGACCAGAAGGCGGCCTACGCCGGTCTGTTGAGGGGAGGGCTGGGAGGGAAAGGGAGCTGAGGGGGAACGGGGCGGGGGATGGGGGACGAAGGAGACTGGCCTGGGTGAATGAATAGGAGTGGGGACCACGGAAGGACGGTCGGCCAGGGAGCTGGGAGAACAGGGAAGAGTGGGCAGGGAGGAGGACCAGAGAAGGGTGGGGAGGAGTTCAGGGATGTACAGCGGCGGCCGGGGGGTGGGGGTGTTTGTGGCCGGGAGGGAAAGGGAGGTCAAAGGGGGGCAAGGGAGCGAAGGGGATTAGGGGGACATAGGGAGCTGGGTAGAGAGCGATGATGATTAGAAGAGAATGGGCGGCTGCTGGGGGCGGGGTGGGGTGGTACTAGGGAAGAAGGGGCGGGCGGGGGAGGGGTGACCTGAGAAGGAGCGCCTGGAGGAGGGGCGGCGCCGGCGGGCCGGCGGGCCCCGCCCCGGTAGAATCTCCGCGAGGGAGGAGGATCGAGGATCGAGTCCGGGGTCTGGACACACAAATGCGCAAGAAACTCAAGGGAGCTATGGGGCCGCTGCCACCCCCGCTACCCCATGGGCCCCCAACTCGCCGGGACTCCGTAGCTATCCCGGGCCGGACCCATAGACCTTTCCAGGTCCACAGACCGCGGCCTTGTCTGTGGCTCTGTCCTACAGAATCCAGCACCCCGGCACTCGCGCAGGAGCGCGCCTCTCGGGATGCACCTTGCAGGAACTAAGACAAGTGTGACTGCATGAATGCTGCTCCCACGCACAGCAGACCTGGAGGCCTCGCTCAGGTAGGGAGGGCGGCAGAAGCAGCCCTGACCGCCGCCCTGCGGGTCACCGCCCATCGGGTGCCCCAAGCCTCTGGGGTTGTGGGGAGGCCGGGATGGGGGCCGCGGCCGCCAACCACGCCCCACCAGCTGCCAGCCGACCTCGGCTGCTGAGCCGGACAATGCGCGCCGCTCCCATTGGCCGCGGTACGCCTCCAAGCCGGCGGCTCTGGCCCGCGCGGCCAATCCGTGCATTGAAATGCAAATGAGATGCTATAAAAGGGGCGGGGCCGCGGCTGGCGGAAGACGCGGAGGAGCGAGGGTTGCGGCGGCCTCAGCCGGGCGCTGCGAGGGGCGTGGGCGCTCGCCGCGCTCGCTGCTCTCTGGGCGGTGCGGGCCATGGCTCAGGCCCTGGCCCCCGGCCGGGACCGTCCGAGCCGGAAGAATGAGGACGGCTGGGAGACCCGGGGGGACCGCAAGGTGCGGGCCGGGGCCTCGGGGGGGCAGAGGAGCAGGGGGGCAAGCGGGCGGGAGACCCGGGACCGGGGCTCAGCCGCCCGCTTCCCGCAGGCCCGGAAGCCCCTGGTGGAGAAGAAGCGGCGCGCGCGCATCAACGAGAGCCTCCAGGAGCTGCGACTGCTGCTGGCGGGCGCCGAGGTGAGGCGGGCAGGCGGGCGCCCAGGGGCCGCTGGGCCGGAGAGCGGGGTTGGCGGCGCGGCCTGGCCTCACCGACCCCCCACACGCCCCCCGGCTCTCCCGCGGGCGCAGGTGCAGGCCAAGCTGGAGAACGCCGAGGTGCTGGAGCTGACGGTGCGGCGTGTGCAGGGCACGCTGCGGGGCCGTGCGCGCGGTGAGTGGCGGTGGGGCGCGCGGGCGGGGCGCGGGGCGCGTTCGCCCAGCCGGCCCGGGTCGCGGACTGGGGACCTCCTTCCCGGTGCCCTTGTACTGTCGGGGGAGAGGGCGACCTCCGGGTCCCCTGGGTGAGCCCTGTCCCCGCGGGCTGAGCGGGCCCGGCCACCACAGTGGTAGCTCACTGGACCGGACGCCGCTCTCTCCCTCCCACTCCTGGGCGCAGAGCGCGAGCAGCTGCAGGCGGAAGCAAGCGAGCGCTTCGCGGCTGGCTACATCCAGTGCATGCACGAGGTGCACACGTTCGTGTCCACGTGCCAGGCCATCGATGCCACTGTCGCCGCAGAACTCCTGAACCACCTGCTTGAATCCATGCCTCTGCGCGAGGGCAGCAGCTTCCGGGATCTGCTGGGGGACGCCCTGGCAGGGCCTCCGGGAGCCCCTGGGCGCAGTGGCTGGCCCACGGGAGGAGGGGTCCTGGGATCCCCTATGCCTAGTTCCCCAGGCCCCGGGGACGACCTGTGCTCCGACTTGGAGGAGGCCCCCGAGGCTGAACTGACCAGAGCTCCTGCTGAAGGGCCAGAGTTGGTGCCAGCAACCCTGGGCAGCCTCACCGCTGCCTGCATAGCCCAGAGCGTCTGGAGGCCTTGGTGACTAACACCACCCCGGCTTTTGCAAGGATGGGTGTGGCCTTCCCTTGCTCTGTTCCCTCCTCCCTGCGGTCCACAGGTGGTGGGGCTGGGCCCCCCCGCTGGCTCCTAGGTCTGCCGGCTCTCTTCCTTCAGTGGCTGGGATGCAGGGCAGTCCGGGTGACCAGCCCTAGCCCTGTTTCTTAAGAAAGTATTTCTTATGGACCCCACAGCCCCCCAGGAGTGGGTGGAGGGCGGAAGCTGCAGGCAGGAGGAGGAATCTCACCGAACTACTAGGGTTCCCCAGGGTTTCACTGTCCCAGTCTTCTCAGGTACTGTGGATCTGGGGGCAGAGGTGAATGGAATGGTGCTGAAGCCCTTCTTGGTGCTGGGCACTGGTGACGGGACAGAGGGACACCTCAGACCCTGACAGCCCTGGCCTGAGTGGAAGCTTGAACTTGCCACTTGAGTCAGGACACAGGGGAGGCAGAGGCTTTCTGTGGCATTTCCTCCACCTGCCAGAGAGAAGCAGAGCTCCCTGGATCACTTGAGTCTGTGTATTGGGTTACCATCAAATGTTCCAGTTTTATGAAATAAAGCATTTTGGAGAGTTAGTTACCCTTTTGGAGTAAGACTGAATGATGTGATCTCCTTGATGGGTCTAATGGGTAGATACTAAACTAGGGAGGGGTGTTTTTCTTGTACTTGATGCTGGCAAATGTTTCTAAAATCTCCTACCCTTTGTCAGCACCATGATGAGCACAGTGGTGGTGGAGAGCAGACACCTGCGGCATGTCTCACGGTGGACAGCACTCCCACCTCCCTGGGAACTGTGTGCATCCTGGACAGGGACACCATTGTCATGGGGTTTGTCTCCAGAGCAATGAAGTAGCAGGGGAACAGCCTGTCCCCCACCATTCTCCGATTCAGGAGCTTCTAGGAATAAAATGAATGCCTACTTCCTAGCCATGTGGTTTGGAAGTTTCCTTCGAAGACCTGTTTTAGGGTCCATGAGTGTGATGCAGATGGCAGTCTACTTATGTGAGGTGGTCACTCTTCCTGACAAAAGAGGGATTTTCCCCCAGTACCAGTGAGTTCGGGGACATGGAGACCTGCCCCATTCATGGCTTGAAATGAAATTGTCATGGTTCTACTCAGCTTGGACTAGAGGTCAAAGTGGGCCCAAGAGGTCATTCAGAACCTTGAGAGGAGGGGGATGGGATGGGCAGCAAGAGTGGAGGGAAGTTCCCTCCTGGGGTGGGCCAGGAACCACAGACAGCATGGGTCAGCTGACAGCAGCCACTGCCAGAGAGAGCCCAGCCTGGTCACTCCTGCTGCAGGACCCCAAAGCAGCTTGGGTTGCCAATGCCCAGACCAGGGCTGTGATGTGACAACTCAGGATTGACACCTGGGTCTCCTCTCTGGTTGGGCACCTTTGCTTCAAGAACATCTTTCCCAGCAACCCTTTGACAATACCCCCGCTACGACCACTACCATGAGTCCTGGCCACCAGGGGTGTTTCACCTTGGCTTCTCTGTGGTTCAGTCTCAGACCTCAGCCACTAGGCTATAACCAGATGCAACTTATTTTTAGCAACTGGGGAGAGGTTGGGATGGGCTGGGGGAGGTAGCTCCATCAGGTGGGGTTCAAGAGGGATTGGAAATGTTATTCCTGGGGTGCTTTTAGCTGTCCCAGACAGACTGATGTCGGGTGTGTCCACAAGGACATAGATGGAGCGTAGGTGCCCATGCAAGACCTCTGTTGCCTGTGGCTTCCAGCAGCACCCAAAGGCAACTGTGATGCCTTCTGATGCCATTTGGGGGAGGGGACATCCTCCAGGAACTGTTCTGAAGCATCAATGCCTTCCTCTCATGCCCACACTTATCACATTCTCCCAGAGACCCTGGAAGAGGGCCAAGGGGACCCAGGACTTGGGATGCAAGGTGCAGGAGGCTGACCTGGGGGGAAAGATGTCGCTGGGACCAGGACCCTCCTGAGGTCAGAAGCCCCTAACCCAGAGCTCTGGTCCTGCACTCCCCCCACCTATGACTGAGTCAGCTCCTACTGCGAGCCTCAAGAGCAGCCTCTTTTCTCAGACATGCAAGTGCTTCCCAGAGCAGCGACCACTATCAGCCTCTACGGGCTGACAGCCCCTCTTGCCTCTTTGCAACCTAGACCACCCTAGACCATTCCTTCTGAAGCTCTTTGCAAATTTCCCACTCTGTCAGACAACTATTTCCTACCACCTCCTCTCTCTGAAACCCACAACTCTCCCTCACAGGCCTTGCTCTTGACTTTGGTAGCCTTGCTTCGTCCTTCCCTGAGATATGCCTCCTTCCCACTTCAGGCCCCTGGTCCACTGTATTAGTCTTCTGTGGTTACCATACATCGCTGCAAACTTGGTGGCTGGAAATAACACTAACCGATCATCTTGCATTTCCATAGGTTAGAAGTCTGACACAGGATTCACAAGGCTAAAGGAGAGCCTAGTGCTTTCAGAACAGCTACACTCCCTCCTGGAGGCTTGAGAGTGAATCTGTTTCCTTTCCTTTCCCTGTTTCCGAGGCCACCCATATCCTTTGGCAGGTGGCCCCCTTCCTCCACCTTTAAAGCCAGCAACAATGCATCTGTTGCACCCTCCTCCCATAGTCACATCTCCTGCTGACCCCTGTGCCTCCCTCTTCCTTCTACTTTTAAGGACCCTCATAATGATACTGGGCCCACTGGGATAACCCAGGATAATCTCCTTATTTCCAGGTTCTTAATCCTCAATCAGATTTGCAAAACCTCTCTTGCCCATATAACACTCACAGGTTCTGGGAATGACGATGTGGACACCTTTGGGGGACCATTATTCTGCCAAGCATACCCATGTGGGCCTCTGCCCGGGCATCCTGCCTCCCATCATGGTGCAGTATGGTGTGGGCTTTCCACGCAGGCATTGGACTCAGTCCCCTCTGACCTCTCTGTGACTTTGCTGCATCACTAATCTCCCCTCCCTCTGCATCATTCTTTTTTTTATTTTTAAGATTTTATTTATTTATTTGACAGATCATAAAAGAGATCACAAGTCGGGGGGGCGAAGCAGGCTCCCCGCTGAGCAGAGAATCCAATGTGGGGCTCAATCCCAGGACCCCGAGATCGTGACCTGAGCCAAAGGCAGAGGCTTAACCCACTGAGCCCCCCAGGCGTCCCCCTCTGCATCATTCTACAAAGAAGCTGAAACATCTCCATCTAGAGAAAGAGGACATAAAACCTCCCTAGACTTGCCATACCCAGTTAGCCTCTGCTTCATTGCTCTGTTCCAAAGCAACATTCCTCATGAGCACAGTTTACACTAGCTGTCTCCATTTGCACACCTCTCGCCCCTCTTCACACCTCTCCAGTCAAGCCATTGTTCCCTCCCCTCCACTGACCCCACCCTGGTAAAGATCTCCAGGGGCTGCCATGTTTCGAAGTCCAGCCGGCCTGTCTTAAGTTTCTGGCTTACCCTTCTTCCAGTAAAGCACTCCTCATAGGTTATCACTCCCTCCTTCCTGAAACTCTCTCTTCTCTTGACGTCAAAAATTCCCAGTATCCTGGGTTGTCACAGGCCATCCCCAATCTCCTTTGCTAGATGCTCCTCTCCTAGATGCACACTTGAGACTCTATGTCCTTCCCCATCACCCCTGTCCAGACTCCACCTGGTCCATTTGGTTTGTCCCATCATGTGCCCTTGGTCCAAAGCCCCTCTCTGTCTTAGTGGAGTCCTGTCTGCTTAGAATCTCTACTCAGACATCTGCTGGGCATCACAAACCACAGCCCAAGCGCCACAGACTCACCCTTCCCATGCACTGTCACTGCCCACTTGCTGCCCATTCATGGCTCCCCACTGATTAGACACAAAAATCTATAGAAGCCACACTCTGTCTGTCATCTCACCTCCAGTCAATGCAGTGCATGAGCTATACTTTTCTTTTTTAAAAATGATTTGTGTATTTATTTGAGAGAGCACAAGTGGGAGGGGCAGAGGAAGAGGGAAAGTCCCAAGCTGACTCTCCACTGAGAGTTCCACAAAGGGATTGATCCGACCATCTGAGGTCACAACATGAGATCACGACCTGAGCCTAAACCAAGAGTCTGGCACTCAACAGACAGCGCCTCCCAGGCACCCCATGAGCTCTACTTCTAAATCCAGTCTCCAGTTGTCACGTTTGCACTGACAGAGTGCTGGGATCCTCATCTCATCTTGGACCTGGACTTGGGCAGCAGGGCTAAGTCGCTTCCCCACTTCCTCGTGGGGCTCCTGGCAGCGGCCTTCAAGGCTCTACCAGAGCCAGCCCGGCCGCCTCCGGGGTCCCTCCCTCCGATAGCTCTGTAGTGGGCGCGGGCCTTGGTCCCTCCCTCCGATAGCTCTGTAATGGGCGCGTGACCTGGATTGGAGATCCGGCCGGTCTCACTCAGTGCCATTCCTGGTCGGCCCGGAACCGGCGCTGGGGAAGCCGGAGGGCTTTGGGAACAAGGGAGCGGAGCTTCAGGGGTTCTTGGCTGGACTCCCGTGGCTTCCAGCTCGCGGAGCTGCTAGAAGGCTGCTTGGGGGCAAGCTGGTAACAGTCCGAAGGCTTTCTGTGTTTCGGGGGATGGGGGTGGAGGGGCAGGGGTGTGCCCCCCAGGCACTAGCCACACCCTCGCCTCACCCCATCCGAGGTGAACCGCGGAGCCTCCTGGGAGATGTAGTTCTTCTCCTTCCACTTCACTTCCGCGAGGCCGCTTCAGGGGGAGCCGGGACCGCGACTCCCAGAGGCCTCCCGGTCCGGAGGCCACGCCCCCTGCCGCGAGAACCCAGAGCCGGATCCTCAGCCGGGCGGCGTCCAGCTGCTGCGGGGAGGCTCCTGTTGTAGGTGAGGGACTTTGCGGCCGGCCGAGGCTGGGCTGCGGTCTCCCCAGCAGCCCTGCCACCGGGAGAGGAAGAGAGGAAGGTGCCTCGTGGCTCGAGCCGCGCATCCGCGAGAGGGCGCGCAGGCAAGGGCGCCCCGGCCGGTCTCCGCGCAGACAGCCTCCCGGGGTCTCGGGAGGGCAGGAGTATTGACCGCGCAGCCAAAGCCACCAGCGGCAGGTGCCGAGGATGGCGGGGGTGGTCTTAGGCTGCGGAACCGAGGCAGGCTTGTTGAGGTGGAGCACGAGCCTTGCGGACGGAACCCGAGACCAAGCCCCAAGCTCTGCGCGGTGTTCACTCTCCACCTGCGCCGAGCACCTTCTGCGGGCTGCGGCCGAGACAGACTGACCGTACAGACCCCTGCTGTCGTGGAATTTTCATTCCCTGAAGATGGCCCAGAGCCCGCAGAGAGCCACAAGCCATCGCAAACCGCCCAGAGGTCGACAGAGGCATCGCTTTGATAGCAGCCAGGGAAGCCCCTAGTTTATCAGATTATTCTTGTCGATCCTTGGGTTTAGGTGGATCTAGAAGGAGAAGGGATAAGGTTTTTAACTGGGGATCCAGGGGCCTACCAGCTTCTCGTGGAAGCGCCCAGGCATCTTACTCTGGCTAGAACTGTTCTGCTTTGTGGTTACCTCGACCATCAGAGGATGACATTTGGGGTCCTCTCCTCTTACCCCTCCAGATCCTGCCCTCCCTTAAG